ACTATGTCAGCTAGCAATCAAATTTTGTGTTTAAAAAATATCAGTGTCCCTCACTAAATATTAATTTAGCATTAACAGTTGAAGCTTAATTGACTATTACTATTTCAATTATTTTATAACCCTAATTAAATAAATATAATCTTTTATTAATTGAAAACTAAAAAATTTAATATTGTAATTAGCAGAGTTCAAAATGACTAATCAACTATATATTTATTTTTAAATTTTATTAATCATACCTATTTCTAAAAATATTTTTAAGGACCAAATAAGTATAATAAAAAGTAAGTAATTAGACGTATAGTTTATAATCCTCTATTACATAAAATTGGTCATAAAATATTAAGTAAAATATCACTTTCACAGAAATATTCAAGAGTTATATAATATATTACAGTTAAAAATAATAAATTTTACTAATAAATGCTTTTGATAATAAATATAAGAAATGCATTAAAAATTAAACATCTTATTATTCATCCCACAGTAGATGTAATACATTTGATATCTTTTCTTCTCTTGTTTTAAGTGTTTTTAGGAAAGCTATTATTTACTTCTTTGAAAATTGAGTTAAATTTTTAATACGAGTATACTTTTAATATTATTAAAAACTGCTATTATAATATATAACTAGTAGAAAGCCCGTCAAAAATGACGGGGAATGAGATTTTTATTCATTTTTTTACGATAGATCTCATGCCAGATCCGAGCTCACAATATTAGGAAGCATATAATTATTTTTATCCAGCCCAGCTCAACCCTTAATAATTTGTTAAAGATATTCTCATGTCAGGTGCAAGCTAATATAAATTTCGAGGTTCCAAGCCCAGTCGTATCCAATATAATTTTGAAAATTTTTTCCCATCTCGGAGAGAGTTAAATTTTTAATTGATTTATCATCACATGGAGGGGAATTATCTACCAATTAGTTTAAGATGTATAAAAAAACATGTAAATTCCGTATTAAGTGAAACTGGGAAGGCCTGGGCAAACCACTTATTAGAGAATCATGACAAATAAAATAAAAATAACCGACTCTTATACTTTTTATTAATATGATCAATTATAATTATATATAAAAAATAAATTGTTGTTTATTATATAGGGTTATTGTAGCTTTTCGGATAAATTTAATGTATGTCTTGCATTTCCCAAATTATTTGTCTATATTTTATGTTAAGTAAAAAAAATGCTATCTATTTAAATAACAAAAATGACATTGTCACAAAGCAAGATTTGGTTGTGAACTTAAGAACCTAAATATAAAATAAAAATATATACTAAAATTATAGTTGAATCCTTTATTAAATAATAATAAATATAATTAAATCCAAAGTAAAAAACATAATCAAGATAAAAGAAAAATTAAAATTAATATAAAAAAATAAAATTAAAAAGTAAATTTAAGTTAAAAATAATAATTTAATCATTTTTTCGCATCATAATTTCTCCATTATATATCCTTTTTCTTTAATCAACATTTGCATAGTCTCAATTTGTACCGAGATTTAATTCTTTTTTCTTGAGTAGATTTGAATATCTTCCGGCTTCGTAATTTTGTTAAGTAATTTGCCTGTCTGGATTTTTTTCTTAATCTAGTAAATTTGCATATTACCACAATTACAACACCCTTCCCCTTAGATTAGTCCCACCATTCTGCGAGTGATCTCCTTTCTTCCGATTTTGACTTTACTGATCTTGTTTCCCCACCGAATCTATTCGTCTTAATCTTTAATGTCTTCTAGTTTCTAACGACGGCGGTCTAATATTCTTCACTTCTAAGGACTGTTTGTATCCGATTACAATCTGAAATTCTTGATTCCTTCTGTTTCTTGTCAACCCCTTGTAAACGATTATCTCTTGATCTCTATTGGCCATTGACGAACTCGATACTTCTGTTATTATGATTCCCGATACATTCTTCTAGCTCCTTTAATTATATTTCGTTTTAATCCCAAATTATCCTAGTCTTTGCTTGTTTCTAACGGTTTCTGGTAACTAATGACTTTAAACGACTGACGATAATTTATCTGCGAGTAACGATTGTTTCCACGAATTTTCGTATCTTAGACTAAAGTTTCCGTCGACACTTGGTTATATTGGTCAGCGATTAACGATTGCAGCTCGAACGTCTTGACCCTTTGTTCTATCTAGTCGCTTGTCTTTGAAGTTCTAGTCATCTAATTCTTGTCACCGTATAGATCTTACGACAGTCCCTAAATATCGACTTTGTCTTTATTCTCACTTGATCTTGGTCTCACCGTTTCAGATCGCACCTAATCTACTTCGACCTAAAATAATCTATTTAACCCCTTATAACTTCTGAAATAATTTATCCCTTTTCCTTACACATTAATTCTTAAATTTGAACTACCTAGAATATATCATCTGTTCACTCCTTCTTAAGTTTCGCCTCTAATCTAATTCTTCATTGCCTAATCTATTATATTTCTTAACTTCGAAATATTTGCTCACTTTTTCTCTAATTAAATTTTAAAATTATAATACATCGTCAAAATACGCTAATTAATTATACCATTATGTCAAATTCTATCACCCCTCTACCCTCAATGTAGCCCAAATCCATATCTTCCTTGAGCCATTTGTAGGTTATATCCACATCCTTTGTCAAACATGTCTATCTACCGTTGTATCTATATCTAAAATTCTCTTGAATATCTTGAATCTAAAAAAAATCTTAGTTCTAAATTTTTATAAGAAATCTTGTAATCTTGTGGTATACGCCTGTTCTTTAAAGAAAACTAAAATATCTGTTTCTTTTCTTCTTTATGATGTTCACGTCCATTGTTCAAAAACAACTGGAATAAATATCTTCTTTTTTTTTGTTCTTTTTCACCAAATGACATATCTTCTCGCAAGTCTCGTTGTTTCTCAACACACCAAAATTATGATTCTCATAACTCTCGCATACTTGTTAAAAACAAATCAATTATGTCTATCATCAATTTATTCTATCTGAAATTATGATTCTCATAATTATGTCTCATCAATTTCATTCTATTTGAAAATATGATTCTCATAATTATGTCTCATCAATTTTAAAACACAAAATTATGATTCTCTAATTCTAGCACAACTTGTTTAAACGTACTTTTTATTTCACAATTATATATCAGTATATACAGTAAAATTTTTCTTTTAAAAACATCCTGAATTCCTACTTTTTTTTTATCAAAAAAAAGTCTCTTTTTTTTATCATTATTTAAAAAAAAATTATTTCTTCATTCTGTATGATATTTTCTTCTAAAACCGATTAAAACAGTTTAAAATAAATCTTATCATTTCTCTTTAGTATTTCTCATTTTTTTACTATTATTAGAATAACGTTGCCTAATTGCCTTAAAATCTTATTTGATTCAAAAAATAAAAATCCGATCTCTAATTGAGCTCGATTGCGGCATAAATATTATAATGACGAAAGCCGTTTCTCTTTATGAAGATTTTTGGTTAATCTATAACCTAATATTATACTAAATTCACATATCAAATCCTTGAGGCTGTTTTATCTCTCGCAGCCCTTAAAATAAAAGTTAAACGTAAATCTTCATTAAGAATTTAATTACAGCAACTATATTCTAACAATAAATTTATATTCTAATCTTATTCGTCGAATTTTTAAATTATTATATCTTAGCAAACTATTTTAATATTAACTTTCGCAATTTATGTTTCTTTTTCTTTTTCTTTGTCATAGTTATTTCTAGTGATCAATTAATAATTAATATCAGTCTCTATAAGTTTCAAAATTCCAATGGTTTTAGTTTACCAGTAACTTCTAAATATAAAATTCCTAATTATCACCTTTAAATAACTAGACATATGACACCAGGAATAATTAACTATAGTTATACGATATGTAGAACTTAACAACTCAGTTAAAATAAACATGGCATTTGTTGGCTTACCAAAAATTAATTCCAGTACTGGTCAAGCCTTGAAGCATCTTTATCAATATATAAAAAATTGGGATAACATAAAAATTGCCGTGGACAAGGTTATGATAATGGATTAAATCTGAGGATCTTAGAAATAGATTTAAACTTGAATATTACAAATAAATAGGAGCGTTTTTTATGCCTTGTGGTTGCACTTAATTCTGCTATTTTGTAACATCGCCGATCACCCTTAGTCGCAAAATTTTAGCCTCGTCCAATATATACATATTCTCTTTTCTGTTCAGACTCATCGATGAAAAGTATCATATAAATAATTTAACCTTAAATCCGTTTTCTAAAAAGCAATGAGAGTGTAAGGAGGGGTGGAGCATTTATAGGTTAAAGGCTTGACCAAATATATCACTTTATATTAATGATTATAATAACCCTAACACCTAGAACACAAATATCCAACATAACCATATCAAATTCCACTCCGCTGTATAATATCACCACAGATGAAAAAATATATATAGAAAAAGATATTTCAAAATTGAAAAAAAGGAAAATCCTCCTTTGCTAAATTTATAGATGAAGAATTGTCATCTTTACCACAGGATCACAAAGATAAAGTGAAAATGAACATTATTCAAATGATTTTTTTTTATATAAAAGTCAATTAAAAATAAATTATATATTTTTTAATATTTTTATTTTTAAATAAATATATTATAATTGTTAAACATATTATAAATTTTTTATTACAAAATAATAAATATTTGCTTTGTGCTTTTTAAACTTAGCCTGACCTATAATTATATCATTTTAAGTACAATATCGGGAAAGGACTGATAAAAATAAATTTGATTAGTCAAGGCTTACAAGTAGGCAAGATATTTACACTCAGGATCCTTTTCTTATATAAGCTACTTTAAAAAAATGTCACATTAAAAAATCAGTAGTAATACAGACCTCAGTATCAATTTCTAATAAATCTTATTATCCATTCACAAAGTATTTAAATTTAATACAATAGCAGACAATATTTATTTACATGTAAAAAAATTTTTTAAGAATTTATTAAACAAAAACATGGGAAATTGGTATAAAATAATTATTTTATGAACAAGTTCTCGTATTTTTATAAAAAGAAAATATATACCAAAAAATATAAAGAAATTTAATACATATAAATTTAAAATATTGATAAAATAAATATTTATTTAAAATATTAGTTTGCCAGGGCAAAATGTCTATATTATTAAAATAATTGCTAAATAAATTTCTTATATTTTTATTTTGATCAGAACTATTTTTAATACTCTGTTGGTTCCATAAAGAATAATTTGAACCAACAGGATCAAAACTTATTATATTTAAATTTTCTTTAGTTAATATTATATTATGTAAAATACAAGTTGCTTTAATGATGTCTTCAATTAATAAAATTCTCCACTTTGAGGTTAAAACCCCAAAACTACACTCCACTATCCTTCTTGCCCAGGATAGGCGGTAGTTAAATATTTTAGAATCATCATTATTATTTTTAATATATGGCTTCAAATATCTTTTCAGAGGATATGCTCCATCTCCTAAAAAAACATGAGGCACCACTATATTTGAAATAGGTAAAAGCTTAGGGCGTGGAATTGGGAGCTCACTATTTTCAATTCTTTTTGATAGAAGTGAGTTTGCAAAGACTCCTCCATCACTTTGGCTTCCATAACTGCCAACATCTATAACCATAAATTTGCCATTAAAATCCACCAATGCTTGAAGGATTATTGAAAATCCATGCTTGTAATTGAAAAACTGTGTTCCTGTGTGCGGAGGCTTATTTGTCTTACAATGCTTCACATCAATGGGCCCTAGTAAAATATTAAAATTTTAATATAGTAAAAATAAATATATCTATCACCTATACAGTTTGGGAAGTTCCACATCTCCTCAAAGCCTTGAGCTACTTCCTCAAACATCTCTAATGTAGGTACCATCATATGGATAGGTTGCAAAATATCCCATAAAGCCTTGATTGTATCTCCTATTATTTGCTTAATAGTTAATACTCCTAATTTATAATTATAAGACATGGAGACATATGAATCCCCAGTTGCAAGATATCTAGATATGCAGTAAGAAATTGTAAAAATGTATTTTAAATTATAAAAATTAGTAATAAGATATAATGTGCCTGATAAAAATAATAATTAATAAGTTTTTCAACCTATATTAATATAAATATAAGGGTTAGATCTCAATATTAAATTATTTTAATATACGGTAAGCTAATTTTAATAAATTTATATATATATTTATAAGAATAAAAAAAACTAAAAAATTTACCTCAGTGTAATCATCAATTTTTCATCAGGTGTAATAAGATTCTTGATAAAATTAGTTTTCTTTTTTGCAATTTTATTTTTAATAAGATCTAGTATGTAATAAAACGTTTCTTAAAGTGAAAATACTATGTATAAAAATATACTCATTTTTTCCATACGTATGTAATTATAAAACTTGAGGTCATCTTTTAGTAATTTTGGCAGTAAAATATGCTCCCTCCTTCCTTCTTTTCGAATTAACTATATTTTTTTCTTTATTGAATAAGAGTACATATATAATATAATATTATATAATTTAACTAAGGAATATTGGTTCATTTTAAAAAATATATCATATCATATTATACACTGGGGAGACATCCCACAATTAAGTGGGCACTCCACCACCCCATAGAGGGCGTCTCCAGTGCAGTGAATTTGCATTCACCGTTTGGCAGAAAATTTACCATACTGTCTGGGTCCCATTTAATTTGAGTGGGATGACGGGTACCACTCGTGGATAAGCCAGGATCCACAAAATTGACAGTAATTTACCCTACTGACAGGGTCCCGTTTAATTTGAGTGGGATGACGGGTACCACTCGTGGATAAGCCAGGATCCACATTGTAAATAATGTTTATTTATTAAAAAAGATAAGATAGGAATATGTATTAGAAAAAAGGGGGGGGATGATTAAGGAGTAAAGAGGAAGAAGAATTAGTATTTGTAATTTATTTATTTATTTTTTTTGTTTTGTTTTCTCTTTTTTTTTTTAAATATTATTGGTAATAAGAGATTCTTGTGTTAAAATAATGTTAATATCATATTGATCAAAGAGTTTCCTAAGTATAGTTGTTTTTGAAAGTAGGCCAGGAATGTTGTAGGAGTAGATTGTTAGATTTTTGAAAATTGACATAATATAAATTTTAAAGTAAATTGTAAGATAAATTTGAATTTTGAAATAGAAAAAAATAATGGGGAAAAAATAAGCAGACGATACTTGGAAAATTGAAAAAGCAAAAAGCAGACAAGAGAAATGATAAATAAGAAAATATCCATGAAATTGAGTTTTAAGAGAGGATTAAAGTTAAATTTTGTTTAAGAAAGAAGTTGTAATTATATTAAATGTTGATTTATATTATTTTGTTTAAATTAAGTTAATAAGATTAATATATAGAAAAAATAAATTGTTAAAGGAAATAAATAATTGAAATAAAAGATAAATAAATGATTTATAATGGTACTTGCTAAACTTTATAGTAGCTTAGGTAAAGAATTGGAGAAGATAAGAAAGAATTAAGTTATGATGAATTGATTGAGATAAATTAGTAAATAAAGAAGAGAATTTATTACTTTGAATCTAGAAAAAATAAAAAAATTAATGAATAAAAGTAATAACTTGACAGATATATTATGTATAATCCTCAGCAATTGAAAAAGAGTCTCATTACTCTCCCCATCTTCCATGCATTTGAAAGAATTTACTAGTTTTGATTCAGAAGAGTAGAAGTCAGGCTTTTCATGTCATAAAAAATGTAAGTATTCGCAAAGTAAATATTTAAGGAATTTAGTGTGCTTGAAAATGAAATTGTGAGTGATAGAAGTATTTGTAGAATTGATAGATATCATTATTTCTTGGAGGTGGCGATTTAACATCAGCCATTTTCCCGCAGACGAAAAAAGTCTTTTCTTCAAAATCATATCATATTATACACTGGGGAGTCCCACAATTAAGTGGGCACTCCACCACCCCATAGAGGGCGTCTCCAGTGCAGTGAATTTGCATTCACTGTTTGGCAGAAAATTTACCCTACTGTCTGGGCCATGTTTAATTTGAGTGGGATGACAGGTACCACTCGTGGATAAGCCAGGATCCACAAAGTTGACAGTAATTTACCCTACTGTCAGGGTCCCGTTTAATTTGAGTGGGATGACGGGTACCACTCGTGGATAAGCCAGGATCCACATTGTAAATAATGTTTATTTATTATAAAAGATAAGATAGGAATATGTATTAGAAAAAAGGGAAGGGGGGGGGGTGATTAAGGAGTAAAGAGGAAGAAGAATTAGTTTTTGTAATTTGTAATTTATTTATTTTTTTTTTTTTTGTTTTGTTTTCTCTTTTTTGTTTTGTTTTCTCTTTTTTTTTATATATAATTGGTAATAAGAGATTCTTATGTTAAAATAATGTTAATATCATATTGATCAAGGAGTTTCCTAAGTATAGTTGTTTTTGAAAGTAGGCCAGGAATGTTGTCGAATCGTTATAAAAAATTCACTATGAAAGCCTTGTCGGACGCCGTCAAATCAGATGTTTTGACGTCAAATCAAAACCGTCTCCACTATGAAAGCAGCCTTAGTTCTCCTTTCGAAAATTTATCAATTAAGCCAAGGTAAATTATATTTTTTAAGGGGCAGCAAAATTATTTTTTCCCCTGGGCCGCCAAGAGTCTCCGCACGGCGTTAGTTAACTCTTAAGACAATTATTATATTCTTAAGCCTATAAATCTCTTTATATAACAATTATAAATAACATAAATTAAATTTTATCAAAAATATTAAATGTTAAATAAATTTTTTTAATTATATAAATTATAGAAAAAATCAATGTACTTTTAAACTTTAATACTTTGCATGTGTTTTTGACGATTATTGACTGACAAAACCACTTAAAGTTTTCGAAAATATTCAGGTTTACTTTACATCATCATTGCATTTATTCATGATTTAAGATATTCTACATGTAAAATTTATTGATATAATTTCATATCTTCATATTTAGGATTTAGTTATTTTAATATTTAATAAATTAAAATATGGTGAATATAATTTAGAATGTTTTATTAATAATTTATATTTTAACTAATATTCTATTTTAATTTCAGCATATTACCTTTAGTGAATAAATCAATGGAAATAATTGATTTTCTCATTTCTTAGATAAAAATTATGGCCACTATGAATGTTTACACCAAAATTTATTTCTGGTAGCCCCCTCCTTTGTCTCTTAGCATCTTTTGCCTATGAGTTTAATAGATCACCATATGATTAATAAACTAGTTGATAAATTTTTATTCCACATAATAGATAAAAATTTAGGCAGGTTTCATATATAAAAGATGCTTATTTCTAATTTTTTTTTAAATGGTATGATTTTTTAAAATAATATTTCATATAATTATTTATGCTAAAATTCATATTTTATAAAAATGGTTAATTATTATGATCCAAAATATTTAATAGCTTCATTAAATTTATCTTAGAATTTATATACTTCTAAAAATTTATAAAGATAATGATTACATAATTTTGAATATGATTTCCTATAAATTATTTAAATATCTTGGAATAATTCCCTCTAATAAAATTTGCACCAAATAATATCAGCAATAAATACTACTTAGATATTCTTGAATAATTTTATATTAGGATTTAAATTTTTTCCAGGGAATACCACTAAAGCATAACATATATTATATCGTAGTTACTGAAAAATGATTTTGATAGGAATTTAATTTTTTCTCCATATTATCTTTAGTTAAATTGGTAATTTTCTTACAAACAATACAAATGAAGAATGGCATATACAATTAATTAGTTATGGACACAATTTAGCATATTTCAGAGAAGGAATTTATATACTCAAATAATTCCCTATAGATTTTAATTTATTCCTAATTATATTTTTGAATAATGTGGCATCTAGTATTGTTTAAAAACCAGATTTGGGTTGATTTTTCAAAAGGGTCCTATTAAGATTTTAGCTAAAATAATATTATGTAAAATTTGGCAAATAGATGTCCAAGCATTTCTGCCAGCTATGTGCAAAATTTTTAGGCTTGCATAATGTGCTAAGGTTAGCAGGGAGAAGGACAATATTAAGAAAGTGTTTTAATACTTTTATTTTATTTATTTAAAAAATTATTTTACTAAAAATGCAATATATTTTCATGCTTATATAGTTTACAAAAAATCAATTTAATAATTTATATAATCAAACTATTATAAAATGTGTATCGGCCCGATCCGTTTGCAGTGTTGTTAAACGCTACTTTTAAAAGTAGCACGCTATCGCTACCGCTATTTTATAAAAAAAGTAGCGCGCTATCGCTACTGCTATTTTATAAAAAAAGTAGCGCGCTATCGCTACCGCTATCGTTTTCAAATGTGTAGCGCGCTATTAGCTACTTTCTACTTTTAAAAAAAACTAGCTAAAGCTACTTTTTACGCTACTTTGATTTTTTTTAAAATATTTTTTTTTACGTAACTTTATTTCCACAAATAAAATATTGATATAAAAACATGACTATAATTTGTTACATATATATATAATTTATTTATTATTGCACTTTAATAATAATAACATTTCAGTACTGTCATCCCCAAGTCTAGAGCGACGATCAGAAAGTATAAGCTTTGCCATACTAAATAATCGTTCAGCACTAGCACTTGAGGGCAACGCAGTATTAAATTTAATAAACAAACTTTTTATATGAAAAAAATCATCAAAAATATTTAAATTAGAATTTTTAGATTTAAAAAAAGCATATAGAGGTTCAATATTATTATTATTATTTATTTCAAAAAAATCGTCTATGGAAGGCTGCGGTTTCGATCTTGCTATAGTATCGTTATCGTGGTTAGGCATGCCATTTTTTAACGTTACCATCAGCCTATCAAGTTGCCCTTTAGATTCAGTCAAATTAATGTATGGCCAATTTAACTTGAAACTAGGATGAACGATAGCAGCTATTACATTATCATCATCATACAGATCTGGAAATCTAATTTATATAAAGCGATTGTATTTATTATAAAAAAAAGAAGAATACCATTTTAATTTTTAAAATTTAAATTTATCTGAGATTTAGATTCATTTATAAAAAAAATATTAAAATAGCAATAAATTATGGTAAATAAAAATTTTAAAAATATAATTATTATACACAAGGTAATTAATAATATATTAATTTTGAATTTTATATTAATTAATAATTACTATATATTAATATTATAGATTGTGTTGTAAATTAAGCCAATTTAAATTATGGCTAATCAAACAATAAATCATTCATTTTATATAATTGTATAATAGTAAATAAAAATAAAGTTTTGACCTTTTCTCAATGCCTTTTAGCATAGACTCTACCAGTGGTTGGCAAAATTTTAGATTATTGATTCTTTTGAGCTTGGTAATTAATATACTCAGTGTGGGCACATAATATCCCATGCTCATATTATCTTGCCCTTCTAAGATTTTAAGTGAGGCAGCAACATATTGCATAACTTAAAAAATTTAAATGGTTAAATATTATATAATATTATTTATTAATTAAAAATACTTCAGTATATTCTTTAATAAAAGTATGCTCCTCCACATTAAAATACTGTATTCCCATTTGATCCAATATATAATTCATTTTCATTTTTTTCTCATCTAGAAACAATGCTAAAAGTTTCATAGCATTGTAAACACTATTCCATCTTGTAGTGTTTGGTGTCAATAAATAACGTCCTAATTTTTTTTTGAAAATATCAGACGTCTTTGATGACTTATTTTGTTTATTCCAAAGAGCTTGGCATTTAGAAAATGTAGATCTTGATACTCTTTTAAAATCCTCATTTAATAATGCTTCTTCAGCATCCACTGTCGCAATTAAATTTAGGTTGTGGCAGGAACAACGATGATGGCTAGGTAACATAGAAGACCTTATTGAAGATCCTAATATTATAAATTTTATTTTATATTTGTGAAAAATTAAATATAAAATAATTTAAAACCAAGGATGTCATGAACATCAATTATCTCAAACTCCATTTCATCATCTTCTTCTTCTCCATCTTCAATATTTTTGTCAGGAATATTACTAGTATTGTTATTATTATTATCTTCCCCAAATATTCTATATTATTTATATCATATTATAAAAAAATTATAATAAATTCAAAACCTGAAGGCCTTCAGGAAATTAGACCCATTATCCGTAATCATCTTACAAACCTTGTTTTGAATTTTGTAAGACCTATGGATTTCTGCAATAATATTGGCTAGAATGTCATAAGTCTGACAGCCAATTATTCTCTTTAGAACTAAAGCTACAGATTTTCGTTTAAGATTTTTAGGATCAATCCAATGTGCAGTTACTCCTAAATAAGCTCTAAAAATATGACATATTTTAAATCAGAAAATAAACATTTTCACCTTCTATTGTGAGTCCAGCAATCTGCCGTTGTACAGACGTAGGAGACATCTGATAGATTTAATATCAAAGATTCTTTCATTTCCTTAAAGCTCTCCAAAATTCTTGCCATCAGTGTCTGCCTACAAAATATCTTGGTCCGTGGAGAAAAAGTGTTTATCATCTTTATAAAAGAATTATTATCCACCAAGGATAATGGTTGAACTGTATCAATTATAAAGTTAATAATGACTTTATCAGCCAATTTTTGGGATACACCAGGTGTTGATGAATCCATATTGGTTAATTTTGTTTGTATTAAATTTGATTTGGAAGTGGGTTTATCTTCTTCCATTACCCCAAAACTTTTGAGATATTTTTCAATCTCTTTATAATTTGAAGTGTGCACAGTCTAAAATTATAAAATACTTAGAATAAAAATTATGTAGGAGATAAGTAGGGGAGAAGTGCCATAAATGGCCATGTTTGAAGACTGGCCACCTCCCTTTAACTTTTTTTCTATTGGACCGATTTCTCTCAAAATTAGTCAAAATGTCTATATTTATGATATTTACCTTACCTAAGTTCATTTATTGAATAGAGCAATCCAATATAAAAATATTTTATAAAAACTGTTTTTGGTACCTCTTTCTGGAAAAATCACGTTACACATTTTTTTGTTTGGTGAAAAAATTACTAATTTAGATTACTAATATTTTATATAAATATTATCCTTAGGCATTTAGCATTATTCACACAAAAAATAAGACTTTAAAAGTTTTATTTAATAGACATATAGAGGCGCTTATTAATAATAGACAGGTGAGTATTGTCTGGCCAGGCATTGACTGGCCAAAATCATACATTCATATTGAAAATTTTTAACTCATTTTTGCAAACTAACAAAAGCACCCAAAACAAATAAAAATTTATTAATATTAGAAAATCATTGTTCACATTGCTCACTAAGATCAATAGATTTTTGCAGAAACAATGGAATAATCCTACTCACCCTACCACCACACTGCTCCCACAAGTTACAACCACTAGATAAATCAGTCTTTGGACTATTTAAAAATTTTTATAATAACAGCATTGACAATTGGATGAGAAACCATGTAGGCAAATCATTTACCATATATGAAATACCATCAATTATTAAAATGGAGCTTCTTAAAGCTACAACCCCCCAAAATATTCAGAATGGATTTTTAGCCTGTGGAATATATCCCTTCAACCCTGATATATTCTCTGAAGATAGTTATTTAATATCTAATGATGATGATATGTCAGAATTATCCAATATTCCTCTGGCAGTGGGAAAATTAGCTTATTGTGATCCTGAAAATGATACAATATAAATTCCACTCTTAGCCCTATGCCTACCACTTCTGATAATGAGTTATGCTTAACATCATGTCATCAGCCCAATAATAATTTGAATTCACAATCTATTCTACCTCATCCAATTTTATATAGCAATAATATCAAAAAAGACAAGAGGAGAAAGAAATCAGAAATTTTAACCTCATCACCTTATTAAAAACATAAATTAACAAATATTAAAAAAAACAATAAAAAAAAATCTAAAGAAAACTAATGATGAGTGGCTTTGCATAATATGCAAGAAGGCATATTCAAAGAGCAAGAAAGGTGAAGAGTGGATTAAATGCCTGCAATGTGAAGAATGGGCCCATACTCAATGTACTAATAACAATGATTTATTTGTTTATTATGTATGTAAATAAAGATACTATAATTGTTTCATTTATAAATTAATAAAATGGCTTTCATTATTGTTGTGTATTAATAATTGCCTAATTAAGTTTATTAAACATCATGAATGATTAAATTATTAAAAATCACTATAACATGTAAATAGTTAAGATAATAATTTATATAATTATTAAATAGATAGTGATTAATTTTATATTGAAATAAGAATGTTTAACAAAAAGATAATTAAGATATTAATTTATAAAATATTATCATTAAATAGATGATGATAAATTTAGATGTTAATACTTATAATTAAATTTTTATTGCCTAAAAATTAAGAAATATTAACATGTAGTATTTCTAATTGTAATATTTCATATTTATAATAAAATTCTAAATAAAATATTGTCTAACTAAGTTTATTAAACATAAATTTATAAATTGATGAATGATTAAATTATTAAAATAGTCTATTACATGTAGATAATTAATATAATAATTTATAAAGTCATTAAATAGAGAGTGGTTAATTTTATATTGAAATTAAACTGTTTAACAAAAAGATAATTAAGTTATTAATTTATAAAGTATCATTAAATGGATGATGAAAAATTTAGATTCTTATACTTATTAAAATAGTGTATAATTAAATTTTTATATACCTAAAATGAAAAAATATTTAAGATAGGTCTTTTGCAAGTATTTCATATTGTAATATTTCATATTTATAATAAAATTCTTAATTAATATATTATGGCCAGTTAACACATAATGTATTGACTGGCCAGAAAAATAACTTTCACATAACCTCATCTAGCTCATAAACAATTATAGATAGAGCTTTAATTCAAATTTTATTTTAAAGATTAATAATTTGGCTACACATTGATATCAAATTTGTTTGGTTAAACCCTATTCTTAATATTTTTTTTTTCAAAAAAGCAAAAACATGGCCATTCATGGCACTTCTCCCCTACATAAAAATGATTGAAATAACTATTTTAAAATGTTTTAAATAATTTAGATAAAATTTATGAATATATAAAAAAAATAATTGGTTTTTGATTTTAATTTATTTTAAAAATTAAAGATTAGCCTACACATTGATATTAAATTTGTTTAATATATTACCTTTAAATGTTTTTTCAAATTAAAGCTGCTCGTATGATTTGAAGAGATAATTTTGCGGCACATCTTGCACCGAAACCGATATCCAGTATTAATTTTTTCTTCAAGGTTAAAGTATTTCTTGAATTTTGGGAAAGGATCATCTATATTTTGCTCATTTTCCAAAGAAATTTCAATATCTTCAACAATCTCACACATAACAAAATTTATAAAGCTTAATATAAAATGTAAAATGAAATATAAAATAAGATAAAAGCAAGGACATACCAATAAAGGAATTTCAAAAATATATAATATAATGAATGCGCGAAATATAAATCAAATACAGATTGCTATTTAACAACTGTTTATATCTAATATATAACAATAATGTATATTTTTAAATATAAATTTCAAAATTAAATTAAATAAAAGGATTATAATTTTAGATTTTATAAAAAATATATTTTAATAATTTTTAGATGTATTTATTATGTAAAATTGAAAGTAGCGAGCTACCGCTATCGCTATTTTTTAAAAAAAAGTAGATCGCTATAGCTACCGCTACTGAAAAAAGTAGCGCGCTATTTTAACCCACACTGTCCGTTTGTCTGTCTTTTGTCATTATACCATTTCGCTTCAAAATTTCGAAATATTTCCTAGAAAAAGTCTTTATTTCAATATTGAATTTGTGTTTATCTCCTTAAAGGAAAAGGTAATTGTTTTAATTAAAATTTTTACATATTAATATAAAGTATTTACTTCAATACTGTAATTTTGGTTATCTCATTATTACATCAATATTGTATATTTGTTTATCTCCTTAAAGGAAAAGGTAATTGTTTTAATTAAAATTTTTACATATTAATATTTTAAAGTATTTACTTCAATACTGTAATTTTGATTATCTCATTAATTTACATCAATATTGTATTATTTGTTTATCTCCTTAAAGGAAAAGGTAATTGTTTTAATTAAAATTTTTACATATTAATATTTTAAAGTATTTACTTAAATACTGTATTTTTGGTTATCTCATTAATTTACTTCAATATTGTATATCTGTTTATCTCCTTAAAGGCAAAGGTAATTGTTTTAATTAAAATTTTTACATATTAATATTATTAAATATTTACTTCAATACTGTTATTGTGGCAATCTTAAATAATGATACCAACTTCATACCGAAAGTCCAAATATTATAAATGTAAAATTTATTATATTTAAATTTAAATATAAGATGTGGAACATGTATGATGTTCAATGTGTAAAAACAAATAACAATGTTGAGGGATTTCATCGTTCTTTAAAAGAGTATATAACATATTCTCATCCTAATTATCGGCAATAGTTTTTTAAAAGATTCAACATTTTTAGATACGTTTCTTTATTTTTATTTGTCAATAATATATATGCCAGGAATTATTGTATGATTAATCATTATATGAATTATAATTGCTTAAATAATATAGGACACGAAAAAAATGTGCCGTCCATCAAAATTTGGTCGGCATTACAGAGACTTTCAAGTTGTTCATGTGTAGAAAATATTCATAATTCATTATTTTCATTACAAATTAAAAAAGTCTTATTATCAAGTGTTAATTTATAATCCCCGTATAATCGGATATCAGAATTTATAAGAGGCAAAGGTGGTCTCAATGATTTAATAGCACGATTCATAATAGTTTTGACATAGAAATGTTGGTAGAGCATTAGAATAGAGTTGAACGAGAGGATCCATTTTTCTAATACGCATAACTTGATTATATGTTTTACGTTTGCTTTGATAGGGGTACGCTCGAATTTGTTCTTTAAGTTTATTCATAGTTACTAAAATTGCATAATGCTCTTCCTCAGATTCAGAAGGATGGTTGTATGTGTCAATGTAATAATGTACCTCTTGCCGTACAATGACTTAGTCTACATTTAAATAAAATTCCGAATTTATGATGAACATATAAAAATTTATTTGAATATAATAAATTACGTTTTTTTGGGAAAGAATAAAATTATATGGCTGTTCTACGTTTAAATATGAGAATTGAATGTTATTAACTGATATTGGTAAAGTTACAGAGCTATCAGCTGCAATGGAGATATCGATTACAACTTCTTCATCTATAAAACTTTCGTCCAAAAATGGTAAAACATGGAGATCATCCTCTCCATCTTCTTGTTTATGATTAATCACAGAAGTCACAATATCTTCATTTCTACCCATCGATTCTTAAGGAAAAAAATATTTTTGATTAATTATGATAAAATTAAAAAGAAAATATACTAACAAAATTTTGATTAACTATGATAAAATTAAAAAGAAAATATATTAACAAAATTTTGATTAACCAAAATCAGCATCTTCTCGAATAGGATTGATCATCGAGGATATCGACTCCGGACCTTCTTCAGGGATCCCAGAAATCCCCACAGCACTTCCATCTTCTTGTTCATGAATATTCACAGAAGTCACATAATCTTCATTTCTTCCCAATGATACTTAAGGAAAAATATATTAATTTGATTTTCATATTATATTGTAAAATACTTCCTCTTCTTGCAGTCAAGTACTTGCAAATATCTAGAAAATAATAAATTACATCTTGTATATTAAAATCTTGCATATTAAATAATTTACCATTGCATTATGCTGTCAGAGTAAATACATTATTTAAAGTAAATAATCTACCATGGCAGGTTGGAGAAGTACAAATATAATAAATTTTACATTTATAATATTTGGACTTTCGGTATGAATGTGTTATCATTATTTAAGATTGCCACAATAACAGTATTGAAGTAAATACTTTAAAATATTAATATGTAAAAATTTTAATTAAAACAATTACCTTTTCCTTTAAGGAGATAGGCAAATATACAATATTGATGTAAATTAATGAGATAACCAAAATTACAGTATTGAAGTAAATACTTTAAAATATTAATATGTAAAAATTTTAATTAAAACAATTACCTTTTCCTTTAAGGAGATAAACAAATATACAATATTGATGTAAATGAATGAGATAACCAAAATTACAGTATTGAAGTAAATACTTTAAAATATATGTAAAAATTTTAATTAAAACAATTACCTTTTCCTTTAAGGAGATAAACAAATATACAATATTGATGTAAATTAATGAGATAACCAAAATTACAGTATTGAAGTAAATACTTTAAAATATTAATATGTAAAAATTTTAATTAAAACAATTACCTTTTCCTTTAAGGAGATAAACAAATATACAATATTGATGTAAATTAATGAGATAACCAAAATTACAGTATTGAAGTAAATACTTTAAAATATTAATATGTAAAAATTTTAATTAAAACAATTACCTTTTCCTTTAAGGAGATAAACAAATATGCAATATTGATGTAAATTAATGAGATAACCAAAAATACAGTATTGAAGTAAATACTTTAAAATATTAATATGTAATAATTTTAATTAAAACAATTACCTTTTCCTTTAAGGAGATAAACAAATATACAATATTGATGTAAATTAATGAGATAACCAAAATTAAAGTATTGAAGTAAATACTTTAAAATATTAATATGTAAAAATTTTAATTAAAACAATTACCAATTCCTTTAAGGAGGTAAACAAATATACAATATTGATGTAAATTAATGAGATAACCAAAAATACAGTATTGAAGTAAATACTTTAAAATATTAATATGTAAAAATTAAAACAATTACCTTTTCCTTTAAGGAGATAAACAAATATACAATATTGATGTAAATTAATGAGATAACCAAAATTACAGTATTGAAGTAAATACTTTAAAATATTAATATGTAAAAATTTTAATTAAAACAATTACCTTTTCCTTTAAGGAGATAAACAAATATACAATATTGATGTAAATTAATGAGATAACCAAAATTACAGTATTGAAGTAAATACTTTAAAATATTAATATAAAACCATTACCTTTTTCTTTAAGGAGATAAACACAAATTCAATATTGAAGTAAAGACTTTTTCTAGGAAATATTTCGAAATTTTGAAGCTAAATGGTATAATGACAAAAGACAGACAAACGGATCGGACCGATACCGTAAGGTTAATATTAAATTTATATAAAGACTAAAAAAAATCAATCCGTAAGGTTAACATTGAGTTAATAGATAGCGAAAAAGAAATATTTAAAAAAAAATTAATCAGGATATTTCAACATAATGATATCTTGGGTATAATCTTAATCAGCCGTTTTTTAAAATTGTATGTAACATTTTCATAAAGGTGTTTTAATCTTAATTTGAAATCTAAATTATTTTGATCTCTTTTTTTATTTCAAGTCGCAAATAAATAATAATGAATACAATTTTCAATATAAAATTATTCCATAAAAAAACTCCTCTTTTTTCTTTCATTAAATAATTAATTAAATAAACAAAATACCATAAAAAGTTTGTTCAATCTTATTTTAAAATAATTTAAAGACATAATGATGAATAGAAATGATATCAGTTTGAAATATGGGTTTGTCACACTTCAACTTGTTATTTACCTCCCCCCACTCCAGAATTGAAGGGCTAAATTTATAAAACAGGAATCTAAAACATTCCAGGACCAAAGCACTATTTTCAAGAAATAGAATTGGTTGGAAATTTTTTAAAAAATATCCAAACATTTTTACTAAGCATATATATTTGATTTATAAGATCGCAAAAACTATAAGAGCATCTGCAGCGGATCTCTTTTTTCAGGTCTTGCTTAATCCAAGAATTTTTTTCATAAATTTCAGTGAACCAAATTATTATTACATAAATAAGTTCAAGTTTAATCCACTCCAAAAAAAATAAAGGGGAAAATACTGCCCATCCCCCCTTCAGGCCAGGTTCAATCCATTAAAACTAAGTGCTATGGTTTGAGTAAAAATAAATTTAAAGCATTTACTTGATAATACCAATATTATTTGTTAAATATTACTGATTACTTATACCTAATATTTAATATTAAAAAAAATTCCCAGGCAAAGTCCAAAGCCATATTAATTATGAAAAATTCTTCCAAGTCCAATGAAAGATCCTAATAATTTTGGTAATTGAGAACTGAAATAAAATATTTAAATAATCATAATGAATTTAAAAATACAATCAAAATTAAGATTTTCATGGGCCTTGGTTTTTTGATCAGGTCAAGCCCAGGCCTGCAAAAAAATTTGTTTTGGACCAATGTTTGACTTAGTGTCCAGGCTCATAATAATTTTGAAAAATTTTCCCTAAGCCCTGCCCAATATAACGTATAAAAAAAATTTCCAAACCCAGCTCAACCCATAATAATTTTATAAAAAAATTTTATCAAACCTGGCCAACCGATAGTAATTTTCAAAATTTTTTTCCAAGCCTGGAGATTGGTAAATTTCTAAAAACCATATCTATTTTTTAGTCTATTTTAACCCAGCTCACCCTAATCAAGGCCAACCCATTAAGACTAAGAGTGAATACTATTTTTTTGAATAAAAATATATTTAAATTAGATTTTATTTGAGGGCCATATAAATATTCTGGGTTAAATATTACCCCTATGCCTAATATTAAAAAAATTCCCAAGCTGGGTTCTCTCAATTAGTTTTCTCAAACCCGCAAAAGACCATAATAATTTTGATAGTTGAGGACTGAAATAAAACATATAAAAAGTCACTATGCATTTAAAAATACAATCATAATATGAAAGTTGCATTAGCCTTGGTTTTTGATCAGGCCTTGCCATGTATACAAAAGAAATTTTCAGACCAATTTCTAGCCCATAATTAAAATTAAAAAATTTACAGGAATCTTAGACTATAATAATTATGCAAAATGTTTCTCAAGCTATGTCCAAGTCCATATTAATGGTGAAAAATATTTCCCAAGCCCAGGAAAACCCAAATAATTTATTTTGATCCAGAAAAATAGGTCTGATGTATGAGGTTTATAAGAATTAAATTTGTCTAATTTCAAAATTATCATCAAATGAAGGGTAAATATCTGATTTACCTATGATTCTACTGGTGAGATGAGTAAATATACAAAATTTTTCTATCTTATGAGGTTTTATTTAAAATTTTATATTTATTTTGGGGTTATTCTAAAATTTTCCATTATTTTTATAAAATATATTAATGATATATAATATTAATTTTATTTGTATTTGTAATTTATAATCTAAAAATTTATTCTTACTATATAAGAGTTTTGTGTTATCAAAATGTGCTTTGTCCCTTCCATATCTCTTATCTTTTCTGAAACCCCAATATAATGGTATAAAATTCTAAATTATACATAAATTTAAGATTGAATAAGTACTTCATTTAAAGTTCTACCTTATTCCTATTGAATTGGTACTTGATACATTTAAAGTTCTATTTATCCCTAAATATTCAGGAATATGTATAATATTAGGTGTGTATTCAGTGCATTCAATGCACAGGCAAAATTTTAAAAATGTCAACTATTAATTAATTTATGAAAGTTGCATAGGAAATGGTTTTTTGATTAGGCCTGGCTATATCTGCAAAAAAAATTTCACACAAATCTATAACTTATATTTAAAATTCAAAAATCTTAAAGCACCTCTATTTTAAATTTTATCCAATATGATTTCCATCACATTTTTAAATTTATATATTTCTAATACATGCTCACGGTATACTTTGCAACAATTTTACCTCTTTTTCTCTTAAATTTTAATATTTATATAAAATTTATTAATAAAGTATATTTAATACCATACACACAAATTAAATAATTACCCTTCAACCCCATCAGCTAGTAGGGTAATAATAATAAACGGTAAAATTTAAAAAATAACAGATATTAATTAATATTTTAAATTTAATTATATTCAGGTTGGTGCATGCGTAAAGCATACGCCTTTGAAACTTTAATATATAAATATAATTAATATTTTAAATTTATTTATATTCAAGTTGGTGCAGCGGTAAAGCATATGCCTTTGAAATGGGAGGCTTGTGTTCGATTCTCGTAGAGAGCAAAAAATTAACATTACACTATAGTCTCCTTAAATTTAAAATACATTAGGGAGATACGAAAATGATCGTGTTTTGATTATGGAGATTAAATTAACATTACACTATATAGTCTCCTTAAATTTAAAATACATTAGGGAGATACGAAAACGATCGTGTTATGATTATGGAGATTATATTAGATTTTCGCCTTTTAAATTTAAATATCGAATCGTGAGAAATTTAATCATTTGTTATAAAAACTCTTTATTTTTACAAGTCATCAATAGTAAAAACAATTAATCAGCCTATCAACGGCGACTCTTCATAATATTATGGTGGGAAATCTTGTTCTTAAATGGAAAAATTAAAGAATAATTGTAACTATTTATACAGGAGTGCCATTTTGAAAAAAATATTCATTTATATTTTTTTGAATCGCAATAACTATGGATGTCTCGACATTTTACAAGTAAATATAATATAAGAGAATAATAAAATATAAATACAAAGAAATTTGGAAAGCGAAATACCTGGAGCTCTCAGGTTCAAAATTTTAATATAAATAAAAACCGTAATGTTATTTAAAAAAATATATATTAACAAAACGCCTTTAATAGAGTTACAAAATGACATATTATTTTAATTTTTATCATTATTATTTTTTAATTATTTTAATTTTGAAACATTATTTTTTCAAAAAAGCCTATTTTTGGCCTATTCCACCATTGATATCTCAAGAACTATTAGTTCTAAGAATTTAGGATTCTATGCCTTTTAATAATGCTCACTCAGTGAACACAATTTTATCAAAATTATAATGGTCGCTGAAAAGTTATCGATTTGGTATGGAATTACCCTATTATAATTTTTAGTCAATTGAACATATATTAAAATATAAAATACATTTTGCCAAAAATAAATACATGCTCTTTTTTTCATTTGTATTAAATATGGTCTGTGCCGATATTAAATATCGGATCGGCATTGATATTTAGCGTTTTCAAAAAATATATGTTCGGGCCGATATTTCTAAATTAGTTATTTTATGATTGTATACATAATCATATAAATAATTTCATAATATTAAAATTTGTCGTAATGTTTAAAAGAATATTAAGAATTTATACTATTTTTTTAAAGTATCTGCAATAATAAAAGGATTTTAAAATATCTAACGAGTCACATTGAGCTAGTGTTATTAAGCGGCTCAATTTAGTCCGTTTTTAAAAACGTTTGGCTCAAATTTTTGGCAAATACTCATTATTGATTTTACCCACAGGTGGCAGAAAGGTTTGGACTTCTATTGGCCAAATTTCAAGGCTTAGGTAATTATATATTGGCGTAAATAGTTTGTTTTTAAAGAAAATACGAGCCAGACCTGAAAATATAAAACCCAGACGAAGCCGGGACCTAGCCGTTTTTTTAACAAACCCGGGCCTTGCAATTGGAACTTCTGCAGGTCTCTGATATAAATTAACTAACTGCATTTAACATTGTTTTAAAATTATTTTACTACCACTACATACTATATTACTTTAACTGCTTTTAGTGCACACATGGAATTGGATAATGATATTGTCAAGGTGGGTCAAGCTTGGATGTCCTACACATTACTTCTAGGGGCAGGTAGGGGGAATTCAATACCTATCGACAACGCGTATCTAAGCACTTTCGCAACACAAGCATGTCCTTATACTGCACCAATAAAATTTCTAGGACACAATCTTATAAACAGATCATATATAGGAGCGATGTGCATACATGAACCCAGTAATAACCTAAAATATGATACAGGAATATCACTAAAGGACAATGATTTACGGTTCACTTCCATGTTGAATGAGGAAATGATACCATCATTGGTAACTGGCATAGAATCTGTACCTACAGAATTAGGAATACCTGACTCAGATGTATACGCATACTTATCATCATCTAACACAGTACTGACGACCAAAGGAAAAATTATATCTAAGAATCAAATACCCAGCAAATGTCCAAACATTAAAATAATATCAACTTACCAGATGAAGAAATTAATAAGTGAATCAATCAAGATTAAAACAGCATTAGATAACAAAAATACTACAGATGAAAATTCTTCTGACACAAGTAAGCAACATGATAAAAACACAGATTTCGACAGATTTTATGACAGTTTCGAATTACTATCACTATCTGTAAATAAAAAAAAGCCACAATAGCTGGGAAAATCGAAAAACAGGAGTTCACCATTGGCAAATTAGAATATCCAATCTATTCTGACTTAATACCAGTAAGATCAGTTAGTGTCAAGGTGGTAAATTATGAATACTCCAGCCAGCCTTCCTTCACGCCATATTATAAGTCAATTGAAAAACGTTTGAAGGACCCCTCAGAGATCAATTTAAATTGGGACTTTATCAATAGATGGTACTTTGGAAACATAGCCTCAATGATATCTTTGATCAAAACAGATAGCTTTCACGAAGAGGCCGCTTTAGTTAGGCTCATTTGTATGATTAATTCGAACTCCAGTGACGCTTATCAAATTGACCCAGTTAGTTACAAATTTGTTCGGCGTGTAAAAAACACTGGTGTTCATGATGAGATACACCCTACTCTATCATCTTACGCAAAATTTCCAAACAATTCTAAATTCATCGTAACAACTATAGATATGGCTGGGTCTTGCCTAAGGCACAAAATGTTCCCATATGTTTTGCAAGAAATATTTAAACCATCAGAGCTTGACTTGACCTGGACAGTGATACCAATAATGTCTGAAAGCATGTAAGGAATTTTCTTCCCTGCTTACTGCGCTGCATTTTTAGATTCATCCCTTTGGCATGGGAAAATTTATTGGAATGGCAAATATGATGTATCAACAGATGAAAAAGGTACAATGAATAAAATCATTATTGCAGGGATGCCCATGTCTAATAATGTCATTATACCTGGTCCAACCAACTTTATGTTAGCCCTTAACTCAACTGATGAAATTTTTTCAATAAACTTTGGTGACCGGATACTGGACGTATGGGTAGACATTAAGCGTGATCCCATTATATACGATTTCATCGACATTTGGAAATCGTACTTTAAGACAGAACGTTTCTCAGAAATATCCCTCCACATGGAATATTGCTACGAATATATATGCGAGTACCTGTCTACATCCGACTCCTGCACAAAAGCATTATCGATGGCAAGCGAATTATTCGCTGCTAACACTCCAGGCATATTAGCATCGGGACCAAATGATATAAATCCCGGTGGTTCGTGGACCATAGGAGGGGGTGGACTCACTGCTAAGGGTTTAGGTTCATCAGACATATTTAAAGGATGTGCGGGCCCTTCTAATGCCCCAGCCAGGAAACGATTAATCGGATTCAATTTTTCTAACCGATCACCCTTGCTCAACTACGCCAATAGTAGCGCCAGAATACAGTCGACACCAAAGAACATTACCGTCAATGATTACAGTTACGTAGATGCCATTGATGTTGCATGGACTTCTATTTTTCCCGAGGTTCACAATACCCAATACAGTGTGCGTACTTGTACATCAATATACAGGATGGGTATAGCATTAAATTTAATTGACACCACTCATGGAAATCAAGAATCTCGAGGATCAAACAGATTACAAAACTACATCAACGCAGTTTCAAATGCTTTAATGTTATCATCATGTCATACTATATTAAGTGGAAATATACCATTAAATAGCTATACAGGGGTTGAAACCCACCTAAATTTTAATCAAATTGAAGAAATGAAAAACCTTAAAGAACAGGCCACACTATATTACAGCAACTTAAATCAATTAAAACACATGGTGAATACAGAAGCTCACTGGGATTGGTCAGCCATAATCGATTACTATGGGGTATCATACGATGATGACGACTTTGAAACTTGCTTGCCAATACCTTTCCCATATCTGGCACAGTGGTGGAGGAAACTGGGGAATGTGATATGGCCAGATAGGTTAACTATTTACCCATGTAATCTGCCATATAAATGTGCATCTACAAACGAGGGAGCAATCCAAATGTCAAGCCTATCCCCATTACAGAGGTGTTGCGCACCTTCTACGCCAGACATCTTTTCATATTGCCCAACAGTTTGGTCATCCAGAAAATCTGGTAAGTTTGAGACTTTAAAACTATGGTACGAAGACTTACAAACAATTTCATTGTGCGAACACAAAGTAGGGGACATCAGATTTACTTCCATGGCTTTCAGCTTGCCAACACATTGTTATCCACTAAACCAGAAGAGAGAGCAAGATGCATATATACTCAATTATAAAAATTTCATCTACTACAGCAATCCACTCGTATCGGATATCATGATACCTTTGATGCCAAATATGAAGCATTTATTGGAAAAAACGAAAGAGCACATCTTGTTTCCGCCTATTCCTGGTGGTATAGGATTTTTAGCAGGGGAACAGAAGCAATAGTTTAGATTAGCATGACTAGTACGATAATTAGCTACCGACATACAAGCAAAATACAAAGACAATTCTATCACTGCCAATATACAACTGTGATATTTTGTTTATTTGAATCTTTATTTTAAACTTCATAATAAATTATTTATAATATTCGGGATAAATGATAGAATGTTCATTGAAAGCAAATCCACCTCAAAATCCTATGTCCACCTCCATCCCTAAACTAAATTTTCGCCACTTTCGACAGCTCTATTCCCATGTTATTAATTATAAGGGCTTAATTATAATTGTAATCCCTTCATATATTTTAGCTTATGCTCTATTACAAACTACCAAAATATTGGTAATGTAAAAGAGTTATTTTTATGAATGTGAATCAAAAACCTTCCCCTCATTTACAATGAATGCATTATTATAGTACATTGTTTTATCTGATTATTAGTTTACTGATAGAATGTCTAACTCTTTTAAATTATAATTAAAAATATAGCAAAAAATTATCCAGATAGTTTTACATAAAAACTAATGACTATTGATTGTATGAAATAAATAGATAGGTTTATAGTGCGCATGAATTGAACGTTTCAACGTAGCGTTTCAAAACGTAAATAAAAAAACGTAAACGCAACTAAATTGAAGCGTTAATTTTTATTTTTTTTTAATGTTGAAACGTTTAAATTTAAAACCAAAAAAAATTTTGTTCAATTTAAATGAATGCATTTAAAATGTATTATTTGCGTTTTGTAGAGTTGCGTGGAAACGTTCAATTTGTACGCACTATATAATAAAAGTATTAAATAAGTTTTTACAGTAATATATTTTGCCCTATTTCATCTAAAATATTAATTGATAACCCCTTATATATTTAGCCTACCACCCTTCAAAAAATGTATATATTTGTAAATTATAAATTAATTTTTTCACACGTTCATCATGTATTTTGATAAATTTGATTTTTTAATTTTTAAAAAATGTATTTATAAATTGTTATTTTTAAAATTTAAGAGTTTCCTATAAAAGTGGAGTTAAATATCATTATATTCATTCATAATTTTCAAGTTTATTAGAGTTATTTATTTTATTTTGGAAGATTTGAATAAAATTTTGAAATTTATCTAAGCGGTCACAAAGTTCTAATACAACCTTACGTCACCACTAAGGGTAACTTTGTCAATGAAGCATCCTTTTTCCTAAATAACTTTAGGTTCTTTATTGCCCTTATTAGTTAATTATTTTAATGTAAAATTTTTGCATTTAAATCGTTTTTAACATTTTAGATTTCTTTTAATATAGATTTTTACCTTGTAATTTTAATGTCTAATCTTTATGAAAGAATTATAAAAAATATATAATTTTATAAGGTTAACAATTTATCAAGAGAAAAATACCCTAAGGGTGAAATATCATATGTTAACATTAAAAATGAAGGCAGAATTTCAAAACATTTCTTTCCCACTCAACGAGCATGAAAGTTGGTATCCTTCGAATAGCATCTATTTTTTCTTTCGCTGGGTGTATTCCATTTTTGTTTATTACAAAACCTAGAAAAGAAACTGATTCATTTAAAAAGCGTATTTTGGCCCATTTTGCTTTCATACCCACCTGTTTTAATTTCATTAATACTTTTTTTACGTTATTCAAATGTTCTACATCATTTTTCCCCGTTATGATAATATGGTCGGCGCACTAGAAAGACCGAAAGGCATACAATGATATTGGAAATATCCAATATGGGTTGATATGGTTAAGTATTTGAACTCTCTTTTATTGGTAATTGTAAATATGCATTTTTCAAATCTATTACCGTAAATTTCAACCCATCTTTTAATTTGGTTAAAAGATCATCTACCGTTGGTATAATATGATAATCGTATAAAATATATGGGTTTAATGTCACCTTGAAATCCGCACAATTCCTGATTTCTCCATTTGTTTTGCATACGTTTACTGTTGGAGTAGCCCATGACAAACGTTTTTTTGTTGGGTCAATCTCTTCAATATTCCCGATTTAACCACTCTATCGAGTTCCATTTCAATTGGTTTTCGTAATGGAAAAGTTACTCTACGAGCTGGCCATGATTTTGGCCTTACTCAGATGTATGCTAACTTCCATATCTTTCACCCGTCCTGGCTTGTCATCAAAAACACTGAAAAATTCTTTCGTCATGCCAGCAATTTGTTTGTCGGTTGTCATAACCTCTTTACTTGTTATACTACATATAGTAACTTGTCGTGGGATAAACATATTAAATGCCAGTATCCATGGTAGTCCAAATAATGGTATGTCATTTGATCGGGTCACCACAATCGGTAGTGATCTGCTTATTTTTTCAAGACGAACCCTTACCACAGTCTCACCAAGTACATCCAGCGGTTGGTTACCATATACTGACAAAGGTTTGGTTGGTCCAAGTTTGGGTCGGCCAATTTCATCCCAATATTGTTTCCCAATCACCGATACCTGTGCCCCCGTATCATAGTCAAATTCTATAGGTACTCCATTCATCCTAACAGATATCTTCGCTCTATTTCTACCAATTTGAGAAATATTATTAATTGAATCCGATGAGTCATTGTCATCTTGATGCATAGCTTCCACATTTTGAGCATTCATTGTACTTACACATATCATTATTGTTAAATTTACTGTTATCTCTGAACTTAAAATTATTAATATTATTATTGTAATTACTAAAATTTCCTTTATCTTTATTATTATTATATGGGTACTTTTGATTAGAAAATTTTCCTTGATTACTCTCTAACTGCTCCTTAGGTTTATTGACTTTATTTACATCATATTTACTTCATCCTCAGCCCTTTTTATTGCCAAAGCCATATTTAAAACCTGTTGAAAACTCACCCTTTCTCCCATGTCATATATTCCATCTGAAAATCTGGTGCAAATATCTTTCTCAAATGCACCCATTTTGATTCCAGCCACCATCTGATCTCAATCTCCCATCCAGGTCAGATTCAAATTTACACTCTTCTGCCAATTTTTTAAATAGGTCTGCAAACTCCACAACTGCTTCACCATCCCCTCTTTCTATCCGAATAAGCTTAATTCTCGAGCTGAATAACGTTGAAATAGGCTTAAATTTTATCCACTTCAATTATCTCCTCATAATTAAGTTCTTTCAAAATTTTTGGACATACAAAAGACATCATCTCGCCAAATGACTAATTCCCATATAAGCAAATAATATTTTTTTCTTGGTTTCATTATTTATTAATATACCTCTTACCTCCAACCAGGGTTGCCATGCCTCCCCCCATCAGTGGGAGTCTCCCACAATTTTTTAGTTTACCCACATACATCTCACTCCCACAAAACTCCCACAATTTTTTAATTTCTCCCACAATTTTTTTTTAGCATTTTAATGTTTTTAATATATAAATAATAATTTTGAGAGACAGTATTTGATTATTTTTAAAATAAATTTTAAATATTTATTCGAAAAATATGTCTAGTTCTTTTATTTTATTTTTCCGCTAATCTCCATCCAACCAATCCAATCCATTCGACATTTTCAAAATTTGAAGTTAGAAAAGTATGTATAATTATTATAAATATATTTTAAATTACTTAATATATTTTATATCGTTATCTAGATTCTATAATTGCAGTGCTCCACTCGACATTTTCATAGAAGAATAGAACTTTTAGAAGTGAACAATAATACCAAACAGATTTAAGTAATAAAATGTTCTATTTTGCTAATAATTTTATCTTACTGTAAAATTAAAATATTATATTAAGCACTAAACATTCATAAAATTTTCATAATAAATGATTTTAAATGGCTGTTAACAACACATATGGTTTTTATGATTATCATGTCATCTTTTATACAAACATCCTTTTTTTATCACACATTTCTCATCATTTTATAATAAAACCAAATAAAATCTTACTTTTTATAACATGCTACAATTTGAATTATTCTCTTACAAATAAAAATGTACATTGATATTTTTTAGCTTCATTAGTTTATAAAATCTATTTCAAATTAGATTGAATCTTTTTGTAAATAATAAATAACATACTTTTTCTTATAACTATAATATTCATTGTTTAAATTTATTAAAATCAATGTAAGATATAAATATTTTTATATATAAATAATTAATATTTATTATAAATAGGCAAATATATATAATATTGAAAATATAACAAGCATAAGCTTAGAAAGTACTTGTTTTGTTAATCAATAAACTGGATATTAATGTATAGTAATATAATTAAATGAATGTATGTTAAAAAATTACTTTTTCTCTATAATATGCCCCAGTCCTAGGCAAATTTTTTAATATGATTTTTACATTTATTTAAATAATTATTATCATTTTGATATAAATCAAAAAAATCATTTTTTTAAATCAAGATTTATGCTAAACCTATATTTCTCACTTTTAATTTTTCTCTCAATTAATAAACATAGCATATTAACCTCAATCAGTTTAATTTATAATCTTTAAGTTTAATAAGGAGAGGAGACCAAAATAGTTATGTAAAATTTGTGTTTTTAAATATTATATACCTGATTCAGTTTAATTTATAATCTTGAGGTTTAATAAGGAGACCAAAATAGTTATGCTTATGGAATGGACAACAAAAATAGGACATTTTTTTGGCAAGAAAAAAAAGAAGGTTGCACCATCCTTTGCGTATTTGATTTTAAACTTTAATGTTGATTTTCTCATTTTAAACATTGGCAGTTGGCACAAGTGGATCACTCCAATTCTAGATCGACGATAAGCTGTGTATAAATAATAGTACAAAAGCAGTTTTTTTTGAAAATAATTTTTATTTTTATATATTTAATTAAAATATATATGTTTTATTGTCCAAAAAGCAACATCATATTTGGTATTGGCACCTCAACAACCTCAACTGGTATGAAACAAAAATCAATTAAGAATTTCTTCAAGAAATCAGTGCCAGTGATTCCTGAGGTGGTGGAACTTAAGCATCTTTGTGATCGTGTTCGTGGTATGTATAATTAATGTATATAGTATGTATAATTATAAATATATAATAGTACATAAACAGTTTATATTGAAAATAATTTTTCTTTTTATATATTTAATTATAACATTTTATTGTCCAAAAAACAACATCAGTATTGGAAACTAGTGCTTTAACCTCAAAGCAATCTAAATCTCAAGAAGATGACTATCATGGTATATATAAATAAAAATATAAAATATGTATAATATTTAGGATTTCTTAAGCTTAGATTAAAGATGATTAGGATAATAATATTTTCTAAGTTCCACTTTCATTGCTAATTTTTAAAAATATTACTTCTAATATTAATAATATATTTTTTAAAATATAATAGTATATAAGTAATTTATATTGAAAATAATTTTTCTTTTTATATATTTAATTATAACATTTTATTGTCCAAAAAACAACATCAGTATTGGAAACTGCTTTAACCTCTAAACAATCTAAATCTCAAGAAGATGACTATCATGGTATATATAAATAAAAATATAAAATATGTATAATATTTAGGATTTCTTAAGCTTAGATTAAAGATGATTAGGATAATAATATTTTCTAAGTTCCACTTTCATTGCAAATTTTTAAAAATATTACTTCTAATATTAATAATATCTTTTTTAAAATATAATAGTATATAAGTAATTTATATTGAAAATAATTTTTCTTTTTATATATTTAATTATAACATTTTATTGTCCAAAAAACAACATCAGTATTGGAAACTGCTTTAACCTCTAAACAATCTAAATCTCAAGAAGATGACTATCATGGTATATATAAATAAAAATATAAAATATGTATAATATTTAGGATTTCTTAAGCTTAGATTAAAGATGATTAGGATAATAATATTTTCTAAGTTCCACTTTCATTGCTAATTTTTAAAAATATTATTTCTAATATTAATAATATATTTTTTAAAATATAATAGTATATAAGTAATTTATATTGAAAATAATTTTTCTTTTTATATATTTAATTATAACATTTTATTGTCCAAAAAACAACATCATTATTGGAAACTGCTTTAACCTCTAAACAATCTAAATCTCAAGAAGATGACTATCATGGTATATATAAATAAAAATATAAAATATGTATAATATTTAGGATTTCTTAAGCTTAGATTAAAGATGATTAGGATAATAATATTTTCTAAGTTCCACTTTCATTGCTAATTTTTAAAAATATTACTTCTAATATTAATAATATATTTTTTAAAATATAATAGTATATAAGTAATTTATATTGAAAATAATTTTTCTTTTTATATATTTAATTATAACATTTTATTGTCCAAAAAACAACATCAGTATTGGAAACTGCTTTAACCTCTAAACAATCTAAATCTCAAGAAGATGACTATCATGGTATATATAAATAAAAATATATATAATATTTGGGAAATTTATTTTTATTTTCTTAGATAAGTTCCACTTGCATTCAAGTATTAATAATTTATTTAGTAAGGAAATAATTTTTATAATTATGCGCATTCTATATTTTTAACTATCGTATTAAAATTAATGACAAATATTCTTAATTTACATTTGAAAATAATTATATAGGAATAAAAGCTTTAAAACGTATGTCTCCAAAATATTCGCCGTCTATATCCGATTCGGATGAAACTGGAGATCTTTCTGAAAATAGTATTTATTTCTTATAATTTTTGAAAATAAGCATATAAAATTAGGATATGTTTTTAGTTCATATAAATCATTTTTTTAATAAAATAGCACTTTGATAATTAATTTTGCTTTAAATATCCTAACAAAATTGATTATCTTTTTATATTTTATATACTATAGAATCCGAGAAAGTCAATAAAAGAAGAAAATATATATGTAAATATAACAAGATATGGGAGAAAAAATATGTTTGGTTGATTAGGCTTACAGGTAGCCATGCTAAATGTAGAATATGTCTTACAGTATTTAGTTACTACAATGGGGGGGAATATGATATTTTGCGACACCAAAAATCGTCAAAGCATAAGTCAGTACAGGGGAGTCTATCAACGTCTATTGCAATACAAAAATATTCTCCAAAAATAATAAATAATACAGATGCAACTACAATTGCGGAAACTGTATATTCATATCATGTAGTTCAACATTCACAGAGCTATCTGTCATCACAATGTGGGTCGAATCTCTTCCCCATAATATTTAACGACTCCAAAATAAGTGCCAACTTTACTTGTGGTAGGACAAAAATGAGCAAGGCTATCACAAATGTGTTAGGACCTGAATCCAAGAGGTCAATTCTAGACGATTTGAAAGAAGGGCATCCATATGCTATTTTAACAGATGCATCAAATAAGGGAAATATCGCAAAATATCATATTCCCCCCCCCCCATTGTAGTAACTAAATACTGTAAAACATATTCTACATTTAGCATGGCTACCTGTAAGCCTCATCAACCAAACATATTTTTGCTCCCATATCTTGTTATATTTACATATATATTTTCTTCTTTTATTGACTTTCTCGGATTCTATAGTATATAAAATATAAAAAGATAATCAATTTTGTTAGGATATTTAAAGCAAAATTAATTATCAAAGTGCTATTTTATTAAAAAAAATGATTTATATGAACTAAAAACATATCCTAATTTTATATGCTTATTTTCAAAAATTATAAGAAATAAATACTATTTTCAGAAAGATCTCCAGTTTCATCCGAATCGGATATAGACGGCGAATATTTTGGAGACATACGTTTTAAAGCTTTTATTCCTATATAATTATTTTCAAATGTAAATTAAGAATATTTGTCATTAATTTTAATACGATAGTTAAAAATATAGAATGCGCATAATTATAAAAATTATTTCCTTACTAAATAAATTATTAATATTTGAATGCAAGTGGAACTTATCTAAGAAAATAAAAATAAATTTCCTAAATATTATACATATTTTATATTTTTATTTATATATACCATGATAGTCATCTTCTTGAGATTTAGATTGTTTAGAGGTTAAATCAGTTTCCAATACTGATGTTGTTTTTTGGACAATAAAATGTTATAATTAAATATATAAAAAGAAAAATTATTTTCAATATAAATTACTTATATACTATTATATTTTTTTAGCAATTTCTCCCACAATTTTTATATTTCTCCCACAAAATACCTAATTTCTCCCACAATTTGAAAATTTTGACCTGGCAACCCTGCCTCCAACACATCATCTATACATTCAATATAATCTTGAAAGTTTTTGTTAATCATAATTTTCAAATTTCATTTGTATAATATTATTTACTTGATTAATATTATTCGTTTCATTTGATATATTCAATTCACCACTAGTAATTGGTTTATCTTCTATAGTGATAATAAGAACGTCGCCAATATACAGTTTCTTTATTTAATATGTATATGTAAATCAAGTATTCTACCACATGACAATTGGTATATATATGTATGATTGATTTGTATATGACATTTATAACATTAATAATAAATATAATATAACTCATTATAACAGCATCTTTGATGACTAAACGTGTGGTCAATCAGCAAATAAAATTGTTGGTTTCATTTAAACTTAAAAATTATTTATATTCTCCTTCTTTATATCCTCTTCCAATATTAAATTTTCAAAAAAAAAACACTCAGGAATTTCTTCCTTTTTTTTCATGGCACCAACCAAATCTCTTTGCCTCATACATGTATTTCCTTGAATGACTAGCTGATATTACATTCAAAATCTCTTCCCTCAATATCACTTTAACCAAGAGCGTCGTTTGGTAAAAGGAACTTATTGACTACCTCGCGCTGTAACAATTAATTTTAAAAATAACTTGTAGAAGTTATTTATAAATAATAATAATATAAGTGATTATGATTGTTCTGTAAAATCAATATCCTCCAATACTCTTAATTGCATATGATAATACATTTGCAGAAAAAGAACAGTTTTTAAAGAAAATAATATCCAAAAATAAAAGTCAAATTATACTTTTTAATTTTGTTTATAACTTGATTACATAATTTTTATCATCAGATTATTATAATAATTTTTTATTTTGAAAATTAAATTTGAAATAAAAAAATTTGTCAAGGTATTAGAGTACTTTTTATTTTATGACGAAAATTCATTCCAATTATTCGAATAATTATTGGAATCGAGTGAATCGATTTAATTTTTTTTTTTGAAATTATTTCAGCAATATTATTAAGAAAATTTCCTTTCATAAAATACAAAATTTATATAATAAATTATTTTGTTTTCATTGATTCTAAATAACTAAAATACTTTCGTCTAAAAAAATTTATGTATAAAATTAATATGTACTACTTAAAACTACTACATTGTTGAGTTGAGATGAGTTCCATCAAATATATTGTTCTCTATTATATTATCGTTATATTAAAATAATTATAAAAATAATATTACTTATGTCTTTTATTATTTTATGAATATTTTGCTTATATTCATCTAAATTATATTCGTATATAAAAACAATTTTGCAAATCTATAGTATAAGTAATGTAATTATATTTAAAATAATGTACTAAAATAATATATTATACCAGAGTTGTACATTTGCTCAAAATAAAAAGATCTTCAAAGATCTAGATTTTTGAAGATCGTAAAATTTGAAGATCTTTTATTTTTTAAAAATTTTGTGTAACGATCTTCAAAGATCTTCATGATATTTATTTTTTTACCCCTTTATTAAAAGCCCAGATGTTTTCCAATTTTATTAATATAATATTTCTTATATGTTTTATACCTCTCCTCCTGCCTTGATGAAAATTGAAAAATATCTGGGCTTTTAATAAAGGGGTAAAAAAATAAATATCATGAAGATCGTTGATCGCAGCGAGATCTTTGAAGATCGTTACACAAAATTTTTAAAAAATAAAAGATCTTCAAATTTTACGATCTTCAAAGATCTTGCTCAAATTTTTGAGCTAGATCTCGCTTAAAAATCTTCAAAGAAGATCTTTTGTACAACTCTGTATTATACCATTCATAATTTTATCAAACGATAATTAATAAGGATAATTTGAAATTTTAAAAATTATAATAAATATAACTAGATATCTGGCATGTCAGAAATACAGAGTTGTCAAAATGTCAATCGTCCCATTATAAAAAACTACTCTATTCAAATATACGTGATACATGATTTATAGCGCTTATACCCAACGTTGAAGATACAGGACAGCTATCTCAGTTATTCCTCATTTCCATCTAACTGGAACTAAATTAATATGGGTGAAAAAAAAAAATGAGGAGCCCTCTACACGTTTATTGAGCATAGTGCACGTACCTGTAACAACAATCTGAGAACTGTTATTTAAATATCCAGCTAATAAAAGAAGAGTTTGCAAAAAAAACAAATACCCGAGAATAGAATTTAATTATTTTAAGAGTGGGAGGTGCCTAATTTTAAGTTTAAAGTCTTTAGTGTAATCTTGAAATGATCACTATCGATATTGAGATTTAATATTCATGTCAATTGAATTTCGATTTATCTAAAAGAACAAAAAATTAATATGTTCAATTTTAATATTATAGTATTATTAATATGGTTTTTATTCCTGGTATTCTATTATTTGCATTTGTAGCATCAGCTTGCACAGGAAAAACTGAACTCAGATCTATATAAAGGTTCATATTCAAATATATTATAATATGAAGCTTTTGTAAGACTCGGTCCATTTTTTTAAAAAAAGTTTCAAATGTCTTTGCAATCGAAAAATGACGATGACAATCTTGATAGTCTAATTCCCTTAGTTGAAACTCCTGAATTAATAGTGCATTCTATAGAAACTCATGGAGTTCATAGTAATGATACCTTGAAGGAATTAAACAGCATATTTCAAGGTTTGTTAATCTTATATCCGTAATATAAAATTAAATATTTTATACAAAAAATATGTTAAGTAGATCTTAATCTTACAATTTAATTAAAATTTGCATAAAATCTATTTGAAATTTATTTTTAAATTCTTTTATTTATTTTAAGAATTCATTTATTTATTATTAATAAAATAGATCAAACTACAAAACTCACTAATTTAATCCACAATTCAGTAAAAATAGTTGGCTTAGAAATAGATTTTAATGTGCTTAAATCACAACATTCACTTGAAACAGCTGAATATGAAGACACAATTATGCACTTGAATAATAAATTGAAGGTGAATGATATATAATTTGTTTATTGATCATTATATTTTGCTAAATAACCTTATGTTTGAATATGATTTCACAGTTTATTACTATTATAAAGGCTGTTGTTTGGCTTAGTTAAACCTTAACATTTAACAAGAATTTTATTATGTGGTAAAAATATTCATTAGTTTTTTAAATACCCATGACTTTAAGTGTATAATTTGATATATATAAATTTTAGGAAAAATCTGCCTTGGAATATCAAAAGACTAGTGAGGCTACAACTCTCAAACATGAACTAGCTAAAATTAAAGAAGACTACAAAAAAATAAAAAGAGATTACAGTTACAATTCGAAGGCCAAGGATGAAAAGTTGAAGGCATTTCAGTTGATAGATAAAAATTTTAAAACGAGAGTTAGTGAGGTAAATATAATAATTAAATTGATATATATAATTATAAAAAATTTATGATATTCTAGTTGATAATAGATTTAAATTAAAAAAAATCTGATCTCCTTAATAATAAACTTTATCCTAGTAGGCAACTTGGTTCAAAGGGTCTTACATTTTTCTTTTTATAATAAAAATTAAGCCTTTTACATGAAATCTCCTTGAAAAGTTTCAAATTGAAATTTGCAAGGGGGCTTTCATCTGTAATTCCATTACACCTACTTAATATTTTTGATATTTAGCCTATAAATGTTTTAACTTTTAATAAAGAATTTTTTTAAATAAATGCCATCTAATTTGTTATTCATTTAAAGTAATTTAATATATATTTCATACATAAATAAATTAAAGGAAAAGAATCTATTGCAAAACAAAAATGATAGCTCTGAAAAAACTTTAAAAAGGTTTGTAATAAACTTTTTATATAGTACTTCAGGGAATGCATACTTGAATATGATGTGAAAGTCTGACTTTTTTTAATATTTAATTTGATTTTTTTTTGAAAAAAAGGCAGGATTTTATATGATCACAATGTAAAAAAACAAAATTATTTTTTTACATGCTCATATACATATATGATTTAGTCATAGACATGACATTTTGGCAAGCAGTTGTAGAAGCACCATTAGGTCAGTTTTCCCCATAAGTTATTGTAAATCTTTATAGGTCTTTGGCTAAGATGGGGAGGGGGTTATTAGCTTAAAATATTCATGAGAACAGGCAAATTTTCTTAGGGGGATTTCCCCTTGTCCTTTCTGGTTACACCTATGGATTTAATAGAATAACTATGCCTGAATATATTTAGCCTAACTTTTTGTTTCATTTGATTAATAAAAGATATGCTTTAATTAATTTTTTTTTTAAATTTGCTTTAGAAATTTTTTATTTTCCCTACAATTATCGAGTCATTGTATGAAATAATAGCACATTTCATTCAATGATGAGGCTCATATTTTAAGAACCAAATACTACCAAAATAAACTATGGTTTTAACAGGCTTAGGTCATGATCCAGTATCAATCATTTTTTAAATGGATTCCAATAATTTTTTTGAATAACATACTTTCAGGTATTTTTTTGGATAGTGCTTATTTGTTAAAATCCTGATTTTTTTAAATCTCCTGATGCAAAAAATAAAATTAAAATATGGTATATTCAATTTGGTTTTGAAAATTTAGTTTATCTTTGATAAAAAGTTTAAAATCAATCTTGAAAGTGTTGAAGGATCATTCATTAATAAAGCCAAAATTAGTATCGGATTATATAATATTGTTGTTTTTTAAATAACCCGGTAATTATGAAGTGTCAAATGAGTTCAATGGGCACACACAACTTGTCCAATCAAATAATCCCGATTTATAATTTCTAAATTAATTTAATGATAAAGTGTTTAACTGACCATTTTTAATAAGATATTAGAAGGAAAAAAAATGAAAAATTTATTCTTTAAAATGATATATATTTTTTTAAAAAATAAAAAGATTAAACAGCGAACTCGAAATTAAGAAAAAAGAAATTGATAATGATCGACATCTCATCAAATCACTTGAAGAAAAAAATAAACAACCCTGCAAAAAGTGTCGCGATTATTCAGAACTTTTAAATAATTACGAAGTTAATTATTTTTTAAATTTTCACGATTTTTCTTTCTTTTTTAAAAAAATGTCATTAAATATCAAGGAGATGGTTAATAGCAACTTGGTTAAAATTTTAAATCATTGGATTATATCTTATTTTAAAATAGACATTTTATCTTTTATATTATAGCTTTTAAAAGAAAATTTATCTTCCCTCATTGATGCTAAGAAGATAATTTCGGATAAAAACACATTGGGCTCCTTAAATAACGATCCACAAGAAAAGGTCGGGCATTTTTACCAAACCTTGAAATCGCTCCAAAATGAAAACGATGAACTGAAACGAACTAACAAGATTTTAAAGTATACCATGCCCCCCCCCCCTCCTCTACATCGAAAAAAAACGAAAAAAATTGAAATATTTGCTAAGTTTGTATAGAAGAACGAACAAAGAATTAAATAAATAAAGAATAACAAATATTTATATTCACTAGTGGCATATTTCCTTTAGGATTTGTCAAAACTTGACTATTTATTAAAAGAATTAGTAAATAATTAAAACTCTGCACTATTTTTACTAAATGCTCATCATATTTAAGATAGTGTCCTTTAGTGTTGTTAATTTGCTTGGTCGTAAAATTTACGACCCAATTATGTGCTCATGCCTGCTCTGAGCACAAACCCAGGGTCCAGACCCGTGGTTTAGACCCGAGTCAGATAAATGAAAAGTAAGAAAAAATAAATTACATTTACTAATCTTAAATTAAATCTTATTATCAATTCTAAATTAATAATTTAAAGTCGTTAAACAGCTCAATTTGAGCTTATTTTTTTTAAAAAATGGCTAACTTTCCTAAACTCAAATAACCTCCAAACTATCATTATCATTTTACTAATAAATTTATATCTATCCTACTTCTGAAAAGTAATGCTAAATATAATAGGCCATTCATGATTCGAAAGAAATTCAATTGTTTCCTTATTCAAAAAGATATATTAATAGCTCCTCCATCAGCTGCAACACTTAATTTTTTGAGTTTAAGATAACGTATTTCCTAATTCTTTAAAAATTTATCAGGAATATGTCAAATATTTGCAAATGTTTTTGAATAATTTCAAATAATGTCATATAATGAAAAGGCTATATATTATTTGGCGAATAATTTTTTTTACATTATTCATTTATGATTTGAATCTAATAATCAAAATCGCCTTACATTCAAGTAATCATTCGATTCGAATAATTGTGTTATTCTAGATTCGAATCATCTAGGTCTTATCTGCTTCAATAAATTTTCACAATAGAGATATTTTTCTCATTCTCTTGGTTATACTTTCACTAAAAGATGCTATCGACTTGCTAAATTGTGTAGACATTGAAATTCAATGGTGCATTTAGGGGGCACAATCTCTGGGTTGTTAGCGCACATCTAGGTAGGGTTAAATTTGTAAATCAAAGTTAAAAAATTATTTTTAATATATAATGTCCTTATTTAATTGGTAATATAATTAAAATAATGGATAAGGAATATGAATACTAACAGATTGCCTAAAATAGGGGGGGGGGGAGGGAATATACTGGCAGTTGAAAAAATCATCAAAAATGTTTGACCAAAAATCTAAAGATGTATTTTATGATGAACAGTTGATTTTAATTAAATTTTACCTAAAAATTCAAAATAAATTTCAAGCGCAACAAATAATCCCAATTAAAGAACGTCTTCATTTTTTTTACCATTCGGTTACCATCACTTTAGGGAACTTCGGTAAAACTTTAGGTAAAAAGTTAGCATCAATCACTGGAGATCCCACAGATATATCTTAAACAAAAATGTCTCTAGATATGCAAATCCAATTAATCCTCTACTTGCCAGACTTACAATATATTTTCTAAACCCCACCCCCCTCACACTCCCCCCTTCCTTTTTTAAAAAATATTTTAGTTATATTTCCTTATCATATAAGCTTTAATATTTATATTTTTTTAAACTATATATTATTTGAAATTGAAAATAAAATTTGTTAATAAACGGTAAAAAAAAGTAAATCTTTTGAAATTTTCATGCATAACAAAATCTTTCAAAAGGAATTTAAGATTTTATTTTTACACTGATAAAAATATTTTTTTTAAAAAAATGAAGAAATAACAGCCACTGGTTAAATCATTCAAATTATAGATTAAATAGAATATGATGTTATTTTGTGTAAAAGTTTCGATGACTATTTTTTAGGCATAAATTTTAGGTAAAAAATTTGAAAAACGTCAATCAAGTTTAGGACATCCTAGAAGTAAAAACCAAAAAAAATCATGATGGTTATTAAAACCCAATATTATTTTATTTTTTTTTTAAAAAAGCGAGCTCAGCGACAAAAACTACCTAATAGTGAACGAAAACGAAAACCTGAGGCATCAAATGATATCCTATCAGGACATGTGCCTATCAAAATACCCCGCTCTTCAAAATTCCCTCGAAAATTCTCAAAAAGAGGTCCGGGAATGGAGAAAATTAGCTAGCGAATTCCAGCTCGAGGTTTGCGAGACCGGATATGGGAAAAAGTGCGATGATAATGAGCAAATGGAAGAGGATTCATTATTCAAGCATTCGAATTTGAAAGACAAGAGGGAAGGAGAAAAATGTAAAAAGGAGGAAAAAATTGTAACTCCGCCAGATTTTTCCTTTTCTATGAGCGCCTTGCTAAACAAGGAAAGACTGACTGCCGCCGAAAATTCTAGACTAAAAGACAAGTAATATTTTATTATAGTATTTTTTTGTAAAAGAAACATATAATTAAAACGTATTTATTTTATATAATTTATATTTATATGCAATGTTAACAAAATTAAGTAAAGAATGAGAAAAGGGGTAGAAAAAATATGACGTATATCGGGCAACGACATATACCCACTTCTTTAAAAAATTTTAATATTTTTTATCTGCACCCCCTCGTCCTCCTACTTTTGTATATTAATGGTCAACATTTTGTTATTTATTGATTTTTAAAATATTATATTTTTGAGTTGAAATAACATAAAATATGCAACGTAACAAAATAATATTTATTTTTTCAGTGCATAATTTCGTCATTTTTGGACGTTTAAAAATGTTGAATGTTCTAGATTCTTCCATACATTTATTTATTCCTTATGGATGTCATAAACTATTCTATTTGATGGCCCATCATTTTATACAATCTCGGATTTATAGTCAAAAAATTTTTAGTTTACCAATAATGCAACGTTGACCAAATAACTATATAAATTTTTTTTTAACATTATGAATATATATTTAGAAAATTTAATCGAATATTTTATTATTCTTACAAAAACGAATTTTGAACAATTATTCGATTTAAAAATACAAACAATGCAAATATTTGATTTGTAAATATCACTAGAACTTTAAGAGTAAAATTTTGAATTCCATAGTAGCTATTTGAAATTATGACGAAAAGAGGGGTTAATATGATTATAGTTGTGAAAAAGCCAGGGAAATATTTTTAGTTCAGGGTTGTGAACCCAAATTAGGGTTCACAAATTTAAAATTGTTTGGTTGGACATTTTGAGACCACAGACCAATTGAAGGCCGATTTATGGGCAACCCATTGAGCCCCGGGTAATATAGGGCAGGTTCGGTTCTTTTTCAGAAAATTATGTTTTGATTTTTCTCAGAGACCTGCAGAGGTACCATTTGTACGACCCGGCCCGGTTTTAAATTTTTTACGGCCCGGCCCGGATTTAAAAATTTAAGGCCCGGCCCGGATATTTTTAAAAAAAATTTCAGGCCGGCTCGGAATTTTTTAAAATTATATTCGACCTGGTATATACAAAAATTCACCTATGAGGTATTTTACCATATTTTTCAGCGATTATTATCGCTTATTATTTAAAAAATACATGTAAAAAGCTAATATTTTGAGAATATTATATTGAATTTATAAAAATTATAAAACTGTTAAAAAATGGATATTTTGAGCATATACTATATTTTATATTGCATTTATAAAAATAAAACTAATATTCATAAAAATGGTAATAATATTTTGAGCATATACTATATTTTATATTGCATTTAAAAAAAATAAAACTAATATTTAATTTATAAAAATGGAAAATATTATGAGAATATAATATATTGTATTTAATTTACTATTTAATTTATAAAATAATAATAAGTCGCTATTTAAAAAAATGCATGTATAATAAATAGTATTTTGAAAATATAATCTAATTGCACAATATTAATATAATTTATTTTATAAAATATATTTTTAACTATAATATTGTAAAAAAAAATAATGAAAAATGTTGGATTAAAAACTTTCATGACTCAAGGTAAAATATAATAAATGCAATAAATATTTGACAGTTTGCAAAGTAAAAAACCAGCATGATTGACGAAACCCTATACTCAAGAAAGATATTAAAAATTCACAAATTATCATGAAGATAGAGAAGCATATCTACCTTTTCAGGTTGAAGATTACTTCTTCTTTCTTCAAGAATTCTCCTAGTAGTGGAAAAATTCCACTCACAGCTTGAAGCAGGAATTGCCAATACCCGTTTTGCCAATTTTGCTAAAATTGGAAATTCGCTTTGATGAGCCGCCCACCACTCTAACAAATTATCCACCTTAAATGTTTCATCTATTTTTTAATTTATGTAATTATAATATTCATCATCGGGTATTGACATATTACCAGAATTACCATCGCCCCATTTGTCATAAAACGATTCAGTTTGTTTAACAACAGTCGTAATTTAACTGGTCAATGGTATTTCATTTACTTCCTGAGCCTCTTGTAATTTAATATAATCTTTTATATAGTTTTCCGTCCTTGCGATCTGTCCCTGACAACATACGTAATTGCTTGAATTTGGGACAGAGAAAAAGAGAAATAAAATGATACTTGTGTAAAACAAATTTTTCAATTAAAAAATGCTTTATATTAAGTAAAATCAATTTTATTTCTCCTTTTTAGCTTTGAAAGGTATTACAAACTTCAAGAAGTGATATTTCTTTATTTGATTGTTTTGGTAAAATATATTCTAAAAATTTAGATATGAATTATAAAAAAATATATTAATAATATTTGAATATTGGGGCTTATTTAAGATATTCCTTTATTTGATGTTTTGGTAAAATATGTTGTAAAAATTTAGATATGAATTATAAAAAAATAAATTAATACTTTGAATAAATTTGCAGGAAATTAATAATTAGATCAATTAGTGGGTGTTAGGTAGTGTTAACCATCACCCAATATTATATTAATCATAACTATAATATAATATAATCTTATAACCATTAACTCTAACTCATAATTTAAAAATTTTTATAAAAAATATTAAGGCCCGGCCCGGTTTAATAATCTTAGGCCCGGCCCGGATATATTTTAAAAAAAATTTTTAGGCCCGGCCTGGGTATATTAAAAAAATTTAAAATACGGCCGGGTTCAGAGCCGGGCTTGCAGGTTTCTGAATTTTCTCTTATAAAAATTTCCGTTATAAATGAAATTTAAAATTCCTGAACTCTAATTTGAGTTTACAACCTTGTTTTTAGTTCGATGGAACGAAGATTCTATATCCATTGTTTTATCACCGTATAGAATATGCTTTCACATTTTTAGCCATTTTATTGAAGCCGCAGTTATCAGTTCTTGAAAATTTATCTAGTGCTAAGTCTGATGTTATAAATTCAGAATACCTTTAATCAGGAAAAAAGGGCACAATTATAGGACCACTGAGTCATCTTTTTTAATTAACAATATTTAAAAATGCTTATGGACACTTGTGTAACCAGGATTAATAATTTAAAAAGTTGATGGTATAAAGTTTATTATAGCCAGACAAAATTTATATCTTACATGTCATTAATATTAATTGTTTAAAGAAATTACATAAAATATAAAAAAAAAGTCAACACTGTATTTTTATCTAATAAATATGAAAAATTTCATTGAATACGTTATAAAATATTTAATTCAATATCTCGCTCTCTCTAAAATGCAAATTTACTCATAAATTAAATTTATTATATTAATAATATTTTATTTATAGTTGATGATAAAGAAAATAAATATAATGATATTTTTTAAAACGATATCCTATATCTAAAGCATTTAAGTATTATAATTAACTTATAAATTTTTAAAATTGCATTTATTTAAAAGGAAAAAAAAAACTTTTAAATAATATTATTATATTTTATAAGGTTACAGATCCTGACCGAAAAATTAGAAAACACAACCTCCCAATTGTTATCCGATCAATTGGAAGCACACGCCGTTAACATTAGTTTAAAAAGTGCCATAGCCAACCTAAAATCTTTCCGTGAAAATTTGACCAAAATTAAACCGGTTATAGTTATTTTAAAAATTATTGTCAGAGACCTGCGGCCGGGCCTGAAAATATAATAAAACCGAGACGGGTCGAAATTTTTTCGGGCCGGGCCTTGCAAATGGTACCTTTGCAGGTCTCTGTTGATTGTATAAGTAATTCAATGCGATCTTTAACCAGACACTTTCAATTATAATTTAAAAAATATATATATATTTTGTACATTTTTTTAAAAAATTTAAATTCCAAAATTGTTTCTTTTTCGAAGTTTTGGAGATGTTATAAATTGAGATAGTTTTGATAGTAATAAAATGTGGGAAATTTTTTTTAATCATAGGTGAATTTTATTTTCGGTCAAATTCTGACATGGAAATTTCCTATATATTTTGTTGCTATGATTTATTTTTTCATTTTTTTTCAAAATTCTTTGCCTTTACTTCTAAAAATAAAAAGTACAGTTTATTTTCAAGTATATTTGAATTTCAAAATTATTTCCGACATACGTTAGAGGGAGGGGAAGTTATTTTTTGGACCTAAATTTGTTTAAAATTATATTATCATATATTTCGTTGCGCATCAGAAAAGTGACAAACTTAAGCACTATCTCGAATTTTGCTCGATCATACCCAAGGGACATTCGGAATACCAAAATTTTAAGGCCACTTTCCTAATACTCGACAGCCTACTTTCTTATCCGATATCTAAAGAAGTTACCTCTTTCAAATATTTTACTTATGTTTTAAAAAATGATTGCGTTAAGGGTATGTCCCATAGAGTCCTACATGGTTGACCAGCGGCCTTCCCTTTTTCACCTGATTGTATATCACAATTTTTTTAAAATTAGGTTACAAGGGAAATATTTACTTGATAAATAAAAATAGATTAGATAAATTACCTCATAGAGTCCTACAGTGCTGGCCAACTGTCTTTTCTTTTAAATCTGATCGTATATCAATCACAATTTATAAAAATCAGGATAGAGTCCTACAGTGCTGGCCAGCTGTCTTTTCTTTTAAATCTGATCGTATATCAATCACAATTTATAAAAATCAGGATATAAGGGAAATATTCATTTTTGTATCATTATTTCGGGATAATTTAAAAATAGATTAGATAATATTGCTACATATTTTAAATTTAATACGTAATAATAAAACACATTATAAGATGAGTCAGTAAAATTTATATTTTTTGAGTTTGAAAAATAGGTTTTCGAAATTTCGTTTATAATTAAGCCAATCCAGATTTAAGGCCGTATCACCGCTCGGATTATTAGACAGCCATCGCTATAACTTCCTCTAAACAGCGTAAAAAGAAAGAGACTATCATGATTTACCAATGTATTGGTTTTATTTGTACGAATTTTTTTTTAATTAATAACAATATAATATTAAGGTGTAAACTTAAAACAGCCCAGAATAGGGTGTCATGACTAGTAATTTAAAAGCCGGGAATTTCCGGCATATTCCCTGAGACGAAATTAAAAATTTCCAATTAAACTTCGGGGAATATTCAAACTTCTATTGAACCTTTTAAAGTGAGGCAACGTTTTAAATATTTTGCTATAAATATTTTTATAATTATTTTACGATCTAACGCGCATTGTATATTCTAAATAATAAATATATTTTATAATAAAGACGTCAATCATGAACATAACATTATTTTTTCTATCAAATATTATACATTTAATTTTCGTTTTTTATAAAATGGTTACCTAGAAAATTTAAATTTATTTTTCGTATTTTGATTATTTATAAATTATTCAAATTCTAGTGGTTCTATAAATATTTTGAAATCTAGTAAAAATAAAATCATTTTTATATAATTATTACATTTTTATATTTTAACATAACAATACATTTTTTATTTCCAATAATATGGTATGTTAACTTAGGTTAACATTGCGCATTTAGATGATTTTTGTTATAATAAAATATTTATTGAAAATTTTATCAAATAAATTTATAGCTCAATGACTAGTGATATAAATTTTAGAATACCGATAGATAGTGAGGATTCTCAATTGAGTGATTCGTCTGATGAATATTTACCATGTGATACGTATTTCTTATGCTATAATAAATATTTATAGGGGGTAATGGAATCAGATGATTCGGATATTGAAAGCAATGACTCTGACTCAAGCCATCCAGATGATGGATTGTCAGGACGACGAAATATATGGAAATCGTCTTTAACTAATGTCCCACGAGTAGCCCCAAATTGGAAAAGCAGTTTACCCTTCTTCAATAAAGTTAAAAATCCGATATACTACTTCAAATTTTTACTGGGAAATATAATTCCTATACAATAGTACTAAAATCAAATCTATATGCAACTCAAAAAGATATAAGCAGACCCCTTAATTTATCGTTAGATGAAAAAGAACAATTCATAGGAATTTTGTTCTATATGAGCATTATAAATCTGCCAAGAGCTGTTTATACTGGACGGCTAATACTAGAATCGCGAATGTGGCTAATATTATGTCAGTAAAAAGGTGGGAGTTCACAAAATACGACCTATGCTATCACAACAGATATTTAAAAGAAATTACACTAGGAGAAAATCTACGCGTCGATGAGCAAGTTGTTCCTTTCAAGGGGCAAAGTAAGATGAAACAGTACAACCCCCAAAAGCCTAAAAAGTGGGGTTTTAAATTTTTTTATTATGTGGAAATGATGGTAGTATTTATAACTATGAAATGTATATGGGAAAGATTCTCCAAGCTGAAGGTATGTCAGATATAGGAGCTTGTGGGAATTCATTCTGCGCATGTATATCGCAGTCCCATTGCATCAAAATGATGAGTTATGCTTTGACAATTGGTTCTCTAGCATACTTACTGGTTATATTAGCGCAAAGAGGAATATAATGTGTATCAACGGTTAGGGCAAATCGCCTTAAAATTTGTGTTTTGCCGACAGACCAAGAGATTAAAAAAGAGGAAGTTTTGTTTAAAAAAAACGGTGATCTATGGAGTCGAATTATCTGTTATCAAATGGTTTGTCAATCGTTCAATTTATCTAATGAGCAACTTTATAGGGGCCCACACAATATCTGACGTGAAACGATTCGATGGAAAAAAAAGGAAAGCATTAACGTGTAATGTCCAGCCATTCTTAAAAATTACAATAAAAACATGGGTGGAGTGGACCTTATAGATTCCCTACTAGCATTATATAGAATTCATATCTACCAGGATGTAAGGGCATTACAAAAGTAGGGTGCGACAAATGCGGGGTAACATTATGTTTTACCCCAGCAAATAATATTTTACCCTTATATGTGCGTTGTGTATTCTAGTTAACATATTCCAAAAAACTTAAAAATATTCAAAAATTCGGGAAAATATATTGTTTCCTTCTTTAGATATATAACACTTTTTTATATATTCAGATTGCACCGATATTCGTTTATTCTTTATTGAATTAATACTTTTGTTTCCTTTACACAATACTTCTGCAACTGATATTATAAAAGTTAGGAGGGACTCCTGCTTCTTCCTGGGAATTTGTAACAGGTTACAATCCCTCCGGTATAATAGTCATGCATTAACAAGTATCATTCAAATATATGAAAAGCTACTTGGTGATACCATTTTTGGGACCTGATATGAATTCTATATAATGCTAGTAGGAATAAGATCCACTCCACCCATGTTTTTATTGTAATTTTTAAGAATGGCTGGACATTTCACGTTAATGCTTTCCTTTTTTTTCCATCGAATCGTTTCACGTCAGATATTGGGTGGGCCCCTATAAAGCTGCTCATTAGATAAACTGCACGATTGACAAACCTGATAACAGATAATTTGACTCCATAGATCACCGTTTTTTTTCAACAAAACTTCCTCTTTTTTAATCTCTTGGTCTGTCGGCGAAACACAATTTTTATGGCGATTTGCTTTAACGGTTGATACACATTATATTCCCCTTTGCGCTAACATAACCAGTAAGTTTATGCTAGAGAACCAATTGTCAAAGAATAACTTATAATTTTGATGCAATAGGACTGCGACAACCATGCGCAGAACTAAATTCCCACAAGCTCCTATAGCTGGCATACCTTCGGCTTGGAGAATCTTCCCCATATACATTTCATAGTTATAAATAATAGGATCATTTCCACATAATAAAAAAAATTTAAAACCCCACTTTTTAGGCTTTTGAGGGTTGTATTGTTTTATCTAACTTTGTCCCTTGAAAGGAACAACTTGCTCATCGACGCATAAATTTTCTCCTAGTGTAATTTCTTTTAAAATATTGTGATCGTCAGCATAGGTCGTATTAAGAACTCCCACCTTTTTACTGACATAATATTAGCCACATTTGCAATTCTAGTATTAGCCGTCCAATATAAACGAGCTCTTGGGAGATTTATAATGCTCATATAAAACAAAATTCCTATGAATTGTTCTAATTCATCTAACGTAAATTAAGGGGTCTGCTTATATCTTTTTGAATTGCATATAGATTTGATTTTTGTACTAGTGTATAGGAATTATATTTCCCAGTAAAAATTTGAAGTAGTATATCGGATTTTTAACTTTATTGAAGAAGGGTAAACTGCTTTTCCAATCTGGGGCTACTCGTGGGACATTAGTTAAAGAGGATTTCCATATATTTCGTCGTCCTGACAATCCATCATCTGGATGGCTTGAGTCAGAGTCATTGCTTAAATATTCGAATCATCTGATTCCATTACCCCCTATAAATATTTATTATAGCATAAGAAATACGTATCACATGGTAAATATTCATCAGACGAATCACTCAATTGAGAATCCTCACTATCTATCGGTATTCTAAAATTTATATCACTAGTCATTGAGCTATAAATTTATTTGATAAAATTTTCAATAAATATTTTATTATAACAAAAATCATCTAAATGCGCAATGTTAACCTCAGTTAACATACCATATTATTGGAAATAAAAAATGTATTGTTATGTTAAAATTAATGTAATAATTATATAAAATGATATTATTTTTACTAGATTTCAAAATATTTATAGAATTTCACTAGAATTTGAATGATTTATAACGAATCAAAATACGAAAAATAAATTTAAATTTCTAAGGTAACCATTTTATAAAAATCGAAAATTAAATGTATAATATTTGATAGAAAAAATAATGTTGTGTTCATGATTGACGTCTTTATTATAAAATATATATATTATTTAGAATATACAATGCGCGTTAGATCGTAAAATCAATTATAACAATATTTATAGCAAAATATTTAAGACGTTGCCTCAGGTTTACACGGTTCAATAGAGATTTAAGTTGGATTGTAATTAAAATTGTATTGTACAGTATTTATTTAGATATCTTTTTATTATTAGCTATCAAGTATATAATATGAAAATTAATATATCAAAAATGTTTTGGAATTACAGTTTTTATTGAAAATAATTTTTATATCTAAATATTAAATATTTAATTAAAACTTATATGTGAAACAAAGAGCATTTTTATATACAAATATCTCTTTTATTATAAGTTATCAAGAATATTTTTATGAAAATTAAAATATCTGATATATAAAAATTGATATATTAATAAATGTATCAAAAATTAGATCCAATATGGAATTGCAGTATATTATTGTACGTTGCGTCATTTGAGCAAATCTAAAAAATAGAAAATAATTTATAAATATTCATATCTAAATAATAATTAAAACTTATATGTAATCGTACAACAAGAGCTCTTTTAGCCTTTGAAGGTCGACCTCTGAGTCGTTTTTGCCCTATTGAAGTGTCCTTGGCTGGAAGGAGTTTGCAATAGTTTAACCTTATAGCCAAACCAACAACTTGCTTACACATATATAATTTAAAAAAGATGGGGCAATTACAAATTCCTTTGTTCCAATCATTTTTGTTTAAAGGTAGTCTTACAAACCAAATGCACGATGCTTATATTGATTATAAACTCCATTCTAAATTTTTCACAAAATTTATTTCAGCCTGATTAATTACCTGTAATTTATCAGCAAAGATAGAGTACTCAATATAATAATCATCCCTTTCAATTGATAGAATATTTTTTTTAAATTTTGCTTAGTTATAACTGGATATGTCATAAATTCTTTTTGAGAAGTGGTATAGGCTAAAGAACATTTTTCAACCATCTCCATAGCAACAATTTTAAAACGATATAAAGGTAAGCCTTCTCTAGGAGTATTTTCATCTTTAATTACTCGATTGCTTGCTTCGAGTGCATTGTTGGTGCTAGGTAGTGTTTCATAAAAGAGTTGTTTGAATTTAGCCATTTCATTTCAAAATATTTAACAAAGTCAGGAACCGCTGATTCCCATTTTAAAAAATAAATTATAGATAGCATCTATGATCTCAGTCTTATGTAATTTTGATACTTAAGGAAATTTTAAAACTCGCCAAGAATTAAATAAAAAAACTGGAAAATTATTTATTAACTGACCAAAATTTAAGATACCTGCCAAATTCTATCCATTTATTTTAAACACTCTCCATTTTGTTTTATTTTACTTCCCATTTCTTAATAAAAACTGCCTGAATAATTTGTTCTCGTGAAATAAAATAGTTTTGTTGTCAGAATATTCATTTCACGGCAAACAAATTGATCCTCGTCATGAAACACGATGAGATATCATCTGGCATGGCTGCCGTCAATGTCCTAATTGCAGAATTTAATCTTGATTTCGGAGATGTTTTAGCCAATCTCGCAGAATTTTAATTGAGGATTTAGGGAAACATATAAATTTATGGGAAAGTGCAAACCATGTTCAACCTTTGATATGGTGAAAAGGCCTTTGCCTGCACGAACCTATAAGTATAATTGCTATAAAACCTTTATCGATTCCTCCGACCCAGGTTCTATTTTGGAAGAACCCATTCTTACAATAAATGCGGAAAAGATAATTCCCATAAAATGCAATTTATATTTATAAAAAAAATAATTATTGATACTACATATAATAAAATCATCCAGTTATTTCAACTCCTAAAATTATTAGAAAATGAAAATATTCATCGAGTAGAAGAGCGTGTGTTGAACTTCTCATTTCTACAGATTAATTTATTTCATATATTTATGATTATAAATTCAAGTATCAAATAAAAGTTTATGAATCAAATAGACTAATATACTGCTGTTTGATTTCTTTTTCTTTGGTTTCTAATTCGCTGAACCATGACTCATTGTTAAAACAAATTTTTTTTTTGATTTTTTAGCTAATTTGGGAACATTTTTTGCAAAATTCCGGATATGGCAGGAATTTTACATTGGTTGTCATAGCCCAAAGACCGAATAGCTTAGGCAAACAAATAAGTTACACGAATAATCCGAACGTTGACACGGCCTCCCAAGGCCTTAAACTAAAGTTATGGGACTTAGAAGTTCAGTCAATAAATTTTACATCACTAAAATAAAATTTTCTTTTTCTTTATATATTTATTTATATTTTCAGGAAAAAGAAAACGTAACGACTAATCCAATTAATTGATTGTAACAAAGAAGAAAAAAACCAACCTTTATCACTACCCCCCCCCCTCCCCTCTACTTCTTTTAGAGATACAAGAAGACATTCGATGAATCGTTTTTTAGATGATATCACCCTATCACGATTTTCATACGATAATATATTTTAAACAAAAGTGAATGGTTTTATATACCTTGTTTTTTTGTTAATGAAAATAAATCGATGATATTGTTAACGAATTCTGTTTGTTTTTTTTTAAAAAAAATCTTTCCCGCAAGTATTTAAATTTTAAAAATTACCCGGCGGTTAACGTCTTGTTTTATCTAATTCTTCATTTTCGCAATAAAATATGCTAGCCTAATACTGCGCACAAATTGAGCCTTCCAAACGATGCGTTGCAACCGCCAATAATGCTTTTAATTACCGTTTGGCGTTAGCAATCATTTTAAAAAACGCAAATAGGGTTGCTTTTTCGTTACTTTTTTTATTCTTCGCTTTGTAATATAATATATAACTTACTTAATATCCTAAAAAGTAATATTTAGAAATTAAAGAAATAAGGAAGGACGCAAACGATAATATAATTTTCAAATACAAATTCTTTTTTTAGAGCTTATTTAAAATTTTTAATCGACGATATTAATAAAGTTCAGATGTGTCTTTCCTCCTTCAAAAAAATGTATATTTCTTATAAACTGTCTCATTTGGCAATGTAGTTTAGCATACAACCGGGGGGGGGGGGATAACAAGATATGTTTTTCTTTTAATTATGAATAATTTTAAATATGTAGACAATTTTATTAACTAAATTCTATAGTTGGATAATTAAGCTTTATTTTTAGCCGTTTTAGCCTATTATTAGCCTTTTTTGTTGCAAATATAGCTCGATTTCTGTGCACCTCACTAATTTACGGATTAATTTTGGTAGGCCGTTTTTAATTTAGCCGATTTATAGCAATTACTTGACTATAAAATACTCAATACGTATATAGACAATTATATATCAACATTATCAAAATTAATTAATATATTTATATTAAGTTACTATACGATATATTTTACCGGTCAAATTCACCACCTCTTTTTTTATATCTTTCCCAATGCTAAAAGAGAAAAAATTTTTTTTACTTTGTTTTGTCTTTCCTTCCTAAATAACTAATTATAAAATTATTTTTTTTAATCATTTTCTGTAGTTTAAAGATCTCTTTTTTATTATATATATTTTTTTTAATTATTAATTGATGAAAATTATTCCCAAAAAAAAATAAAACTTAATTTTATTTAATATTAATTTAATATAAAGAAATAAGGAGAAAAGAAAATTAAATTAATTTTTATGTATTAATTTTTTTTTCATCTTAAAATTAATTATTAAACATTTTTTAAGTTTTACACAAATCTTCTGGGATTCTCTTTTAAATTAAAAAAAAATAAATAAATGAAATGAAATCCATAAATTAAGTTTTTATAATTTAGAGATATCAGTGATTATTAGATATTATTTTTTTTTCAAAAAAATATATAAATTAAAAATCCCCCCTTATTCTGTTAATTATCTTTTTTTTCAGAAGATTAGTTATTATATTACTACTACTACAATATAAATAGTTATTTTAATTTACCGTGTAAACCCGCCGTTTTCTATTTATGACATCTTTTTTTATACGCCTTTGTCGATTTTGGAGTTACACGCAGCTGTTTAGCTGGATATTTGAAAAGAATGATAATCTTAGGATGGAAAAGTCTATGAGGTTGGGTTGGAAATAGGGATTTCAGGATTTTTATCTCCAATATGTGTCGAGAGAGTCGACTAAACAGACTAGAAAGCAGAGGAATATAAAAATAAAACAAAACGAGAAAATAAATACGAAAAAAATAAATACGAAAAATAATGATACCAACCAAATACAAAACAAAGCAAAATAGGATATCCTAGTTCAAAAGTTGTTTAGTCTAGGTTAAACAGCAATTAGGTTTAATCAAACATGGTCTTTTAGATTTTTTTTTTTAAATTGAATAAATTTTAAAATTAGCTGAATTATATATTGGGCTTTTCATTTTTTTAAAATCTCAAAAATGGAGGTTATAAAAAAATATGTTCTCAATTTTTATGTCCCCTAACCAATTATAGTTTAGGAATTAGGCAAAAAAATAATTAATTTTTTTTTGTATGGGTGATTATTTTAATCTAAATCGAAAATTCCCCTATTAATTTTTTTTTTTTAAAAAATCAAAAATAACCTTCGGGGAATTATCTTTCTTTTACCATTTTAATCTTAGGCCACTAACAAACTCGAGGCGAAAAAAAATTTATATTAATTGAAATTCTAGAAAACAGAATTATCAAGTTAATGATGCTACACGGAGTCAAAATCAAATATTTTTTGTTTCAATTCGCCATAATTTTGCCAATTCCTTATTTTCGTCGCAGATATAAATTTACCCAAGTTGTGGAATTTTGAGGTAGCAAATGTAATCTAGCATTTTATGGCTATTAAATTTCGGCCAGTTTTATCTATTAATATTTAAATATTTAGGAATATATATGAAAGAATCTAATAAAACTTGAAAATATATATTTTAAAAAAATTATCAAAATCTTAATTTGTTCTAACCAAAAATTACGACAATTTCCAAATTTAAATTAATAAGATAAATCGAAACGGAAAAAAAGGTGTTAAGAAAATCATAAATACTAGTTGTCTATATACATCGTTTTTTCAAAAGCATCAACTTAAAGTAACGCGTTACCTTTTATATTTATTTTACTGTTTAATGTTGCGTTATTTTTTTTAAAAAACATTGACAGCCCTAATACTCTTAAAATAAATAAATATTGATTGATAACATGATTAATTTATAATTTGATTTGGCTAAAGAAAATCGCCTTTTCAATATAAGTTCCACAAAAAAAAATAATGATTAAATTGTTTTGACAAAACTGTTTTAAATCGATTGTTTATAACAAATTTGGTTTGCTCCTTTTTTACAATTTTGCTATAAACATTTAATTTCCATATATTTATTCGCGAAATTATGATCATCTCATTCATTCTAGTTGGTTCGTTCCTCTTGCACTATTCTTACACATAAAAAATCATGTTCACCAGGATCCTTTAAGATAATTTTTTTAGAACGTAAGGCGATCCATATAATAAAATACTTTAAAAAAAATTAAATTCAAAAATTTACCTTTAAAAAAAGAGGTAATACCCAGCCAGATACGTTCTTAATGTAATCTTTTGTATCTTTTTTTTAACTGCAATTATTTTCATTTATTTGAGTAAATTATATATTTGTATTTATTATTTATATTTTAAAACAACTTTTCACAAGTGAATTTAATTTTTTTTTTCTATAAAAATAAATTCGGGATTTTCTATTTGAATTATTTAAAATGAAAAAAATATTAGTACAAAAGAGAATCCTGTTTTAAAATTTGACTAAATATTTATTAGAAAAGATATTTATAAACATTATATTATATTAAACTTAGAAGTTGAATTAATCATTTTTTTTTAAATGAAGAAAAAAATTTAAATTACGCAGGTCAAACTTATAACAATAATTCTATAAAAATGACCAATTTTTAAAATGCAATAAGATCCATTTTAGAGATGGAATCAAGCAGTCGCTTCCTATCTACAATATATCATGCCCCTTAGCACGGAACCACCTAGTTATCTTCAGAAATAAACTAGATCCTTGCTGGATTCGTATCTAAATGCATCGGATTAGTGACCCAACACTTGGCAACAGGGCCACACTGCCTTTGGTAATAATTAACAAAACAAGATTTGCATTAGTTATCTGCATCGGGCCTAATTTTTCAAGCCCGGCCCTAATTTATTTAAATATAAAAAATAATTTTTATAATTACTCAAAATAAAAGATATATGTTATATGGCGTCTAGTTTCTATAAATAAAATCAAGTATTTTTATTTTACATTAAAAATTCAACTAAAATTAGTAAATTTAGATATATTTAAAAAAATCTCCGAGACCTGACCCGGCCCAAAGTTTTTTATAAAATATTAGGCCTGACCCAGCCTTTTGTAGATCTCTAATCGCTCTGCTCGAACAAAATCATAGTCGCTAAAAAAAAATTAGGGCCAGACAACTTTGTGAAATTTTTTTTTTAAAATTGGCTCTTGGGGGCGGGGGGGGGGGTAGACTTTTAATCTAGCCGAACCTAGGTTAATTTTTTTTTTAATCGGGACGGGTTCGAGCCAAAAAGATATATAATTTTCCTGCAAGGTTCTAATCTCTAATTACATGTTATGAACTGATTTCATTACAAGAAATAATGGGAAAAGTTAATAATAAAGATATGGTTAAGTAAAATTACGAGTTAGGCTAACAGCCGTAATTAGAAATACCTCCCATCCTCCAAAATGGACTTAAGTACTTAGCTGAATACTTTGATGGTGTGGGTTGAGATTATATTAGGGTTTACCTAAGCATTTATATGAGAAAATTTCAAACAAACAAAAGTTAATTGTAGATTTGTAAATTTATATTTATATTGCCTCGTTCTAGCTCGAATAAATTAGTTACGAACTTAATCTATTATCAAAAATGTATTTATCAAAGTACATCATAAATTTTATTGGATATTTATTAGGTCCCCTTTTTGAAAGCCTAGGTTATTATTTAAAAAAAATTTATTAACTTTTTAAGTTATTTTAATTTTGATTATATTTTTTAAGGGAAGGAAGGAATGTAAAGGAAAATCTTTTTATTAGCTTAAAATGATATGTAAAATAAAATTGACAATTTTGGGAAGATTTTCCGTTCTCCTACTCCTTACTTTTGATACCCCCTAAATTATAGAGAATAAATTTATTAAACGACCTATATTAGTAAAATTTATAAATTATTGTTGGGAGGGGAGGGGCTTCCCCTTAGATTTTTTTTCCCTCATTGCTCTAGTTTATCATGTATATTTTATAAAAAACCTAACAAAATTCAACTTATTTTCCTCTAATTTTTATTCGATTTTTTCAATGATGTATTATTACTATTAAATTTCATTTAATAAATGCATTTATAAGTGTCCATACACATAGGAGTCAGCTTGAGACCCCTTTTAAAGTATTCCCGTAGATTAAATGATATTAATATGCGTTCATATAGTGACAAATGCGACAATTTGTCGATGTGCGAACCACAAAATAGGGTCACACTCAAATATATGTGCTATTTTGAATTGATGAATTGCCAATTTAGTAATATATGTATACATTATTAATGAGTTTATTTATTTTATTTAAGTTCTTAAAAATATTTAGTCATATTATAATCGGTCGATTATGATTAATTTAAAAAAATTTCCCAAAACTTATAAATGCAACTACCAAACCGAAAAGGACCATTATGAATTTCTAAACCGATATCGAAAGGAAGATAAACCGTTTTAGAATTCCAAACTAAGAACAGGGTTATCAAAAAGACACTATTTAAGATTTTTGCCAAAACTATATTATGTAAGCTTAGAGATTTTGTTCATAATTGGCAGTAAGGTTCGAATTCGGTAAGGTTCGAATTCGAACATCTATTTGCAAAATCTCGAGGCCTACATAATATTATTTTGGCTAAAAATTTTTAAATCGGATTTTTTTTAAAATCGACCCGAATCGGGCTTTTTAACAACCCTTAGTTAGAAGTAGATGGAATTAAATTTGTAATCTTATCGGTGCGACAATTCGACTAATCTTTATCAAGAGAATCAGATATTTAAAATATATAAGCGGGATACCTCAAATCCATGGATGTATTGCCCCAATGAGTTCTAAGTCTCTTCGAAATTATGAAAAATTTGGCGGAAGAATAGGATTCCACGGCCATTACACACAAAAAAAATTGAATTATATTTACTATTTTTCACATCTAGTATCCTAAGACTTAAATTGGCCATAGACAACAAACAATAGGCAAAGCTCGAAGACACATCTTCATTTAAATTTCGTTTTTTACTGAGTTCTGTTGATTTGTATTTTTATTTCGATTATTTATTATGAATTAGAGACCTGCAGATATACCATTTTCACAGTCCGGCCCTAGATTTTTTTAAAAAAAATTTCAGGCCCGGCCCGGGTATATTTAAAAAAAAAAAAATACGACCCTGTCCATGTGTACCCGGGCCGGGCCTGCAGGTCTGTTATAAATTATTTTATATTCTACTAAAATTTGCTTATTGTCATATCTCATTTCAAAAAGGACGAACACCTAATATTATAAGGCCTACTAGAGAAGAAAAAATTAGAGAATGAATCTCATCGAAATGTGTAATTTTTTTTTAAAAAAAAACTTTTAAACAAAAAGTTTATGTATGGCCTTGATCAGCTTAAAGCGTTTTCACCGATAATTTGTTATTTCTCAACTTTGTATCTATTTATCGAGGGCGTTACGTTTTTTTTATTTAAAAAAAAATATCTTATTTTTCCGAAAAAGGAAGGAAGGTTTCACCATTCTTTAAAATGAAAGAATTGAATTTCAAAAATTATAAATATATGCGCTAATATAATAGAGAAGAAGAGAATACAAAAAAATGAACTGGGGTTAAGAGAACACATATTATTTTTATGCATGCTCTCTAATTTAGATTTATCGACGTAAAGTTATATGAATATAGCAAACTAATATCGAATTCTTGGTCTTCTAGTCACATTTTTCCCCCTTAAAAATATATCAGATAGTTCTACAACCAGGTACGCGACGAAATGCTGGTTTTGATTATGAGAAGCACCTTTTCTGTTACTGATTTAGATTAGAGGGCGGCAAATTCTTGCACGAGACGGGAAAGTTCAGACAGGTTATGACAAATTGTGCCAAATCGGTTCTGACCGAAGTTTTTAAAAATGTTTTTAAAGCTGATAATTGGACAAATTAATGCGGTTTTCATCTCAGTCAATCCTAAAACTAATCTTAAGTTTCAATGAAGATTCCCAATTTCATAAATCAAAACAAAAACAACTTATTCTTTTTTTATATTTAATTCATTATAATAATTAGGACTGGGCCTATTCAACTAGTGTTGTTAAATGGCTCGCTTAGAGCCTATTTTAAAAAATGACTAATTCAATATTTTATTCAAAAAATATTATGCAAGAGTTAGCAGATAGGTTTTGACATCTACTAGCTGAATCTCAAGGCTTAGAATATTTTCTGGCTAAAATATTGAGTTAGCTGTTTTTAAAAAATCGACTTATATTGGGCGACACTGAAAACCGAATGTGACTCATATTTTTTAAAAAAATCCTTTTCGTGTTGCAGATAATATAACAAAAAAATATAATACAAATTTAGCTAACTTTATCTTTTAAAATAATTCATTTTATTTTTAAAAACATTTACAATAAATTAAATCTTGGTTGCTTTATTAATATTTAAAATTATATCTAAAATGAAAAATAATATCTAATTATATATGTTCAAGTCAATGTGTTATTCCCCCCAGCAAAGGTGTTAATTTTTTTTATATATTTCCATTCATGTTTGGAATACATACCTTATGAATTTCAAGACTATTTTGTCATGAACCTTTAAATTTAATATAATTTATATTAGATTTTCTAAATATTTTTATGTATAAATAATAAATGACAAAGGTTAACATCAAAATTGTTTACAATTCATAAGATAGGTATTCCAAACATAAAACCGGACTCAAAATTGATTTAAAGTTGAAAAAATAACACATTGATGGCCAAAAACAATGAAATATCAGATAAAGTTTTTAAAAAATATGGGTACGATCGGATATTTTCAAAAAAACTCTAAATATCGGTCCCGAACCGATATTTATCGGCACAGTTCTAATAATATTCAATTGATATGTTTTTTTTCAAGAAAAAAGAAATAATTATAGTTGCGCGAGGAAAAAAAAATATATATCACTAATAAAAATAGATATATAATAATTAATAAATTTAGGACTATTTTATTATTATAAAATATGTACATGACGTTACAAACATATTTCATAGATTTAGTTATAGGGTGCCCTAAATGTAAATAGCGAAAGAAATGTAAAAATAAAATCATTACAAAAATATAAACGAAAAATTTTACAAATTTATAAATATTAAATTAAATCAAAATATATTTTATGTTACATTCCATTCCCGTAATGAGTCGATATGCATGTTGCTTTAATATTATTAAAACATTGTCGGTTGTATATGTGTAAGGTAGATATTCTATACTATGCTAAAGCCATAAGGCACAAATTAAGATTTGCTGAAATTGTGTCATGTGTACCACCTTTCGGCGTCTCTATCTATAAACGTTTTAAGAATGGCGCTGGTTTAAAATTAAACTTATATAAACACCCTAAAATAAATTAATTAAAGTTGGTAAATAGCAGAAAAATTTTATTAAGGGCGTTTTTTCTTAAATTTGAAAATGTAAATTTGCAAACTATTTTTTCTAGTATGTGTAGAATATACCTATCTTAATCTATATATTAACAATACAAAAATGAGTTAAAATATTAATCAGTCAGTATGCCTATCGACTGATTATGAAAATTGACGTAACATAAAATATTTTTTGGTTATTTTTAGTTTTTAGCTGGTAACGAATTCCAAAACAAGACCACTGTTAGAACCTAGAGAATCCGTCTCGTATCCAAAAGGTCTGATGGCTACCAATTTTAGTCTTCCTCTGCCAAATAAATCTACATTATTATCTTCGTTATTATCGCTTATTTGGAAAGCCCTTTTACCTGGCCCTTGTACGGCAGTTATATATTTGTATCTCCTCATGGCTTCAGCAAACTCCCTATGATCACAGCTGTGAGCCGCACCTGCGTTTATAATGCACACAAGATCAGTCGCTCGCTTATTCAACCCCACTTCACGTCTAGTTCTTAGTTTTTTAACTTCATTATTGTTTGGAATCCTTGCACCTTCTTTCGAATTTTTCAGCGTTAATTGGGAATGTTGAGAAGTGCCGTCTATTTTCGATAAATTTTGAGGGTAATCTACCTGATTCGTTTGTTCTTCCCCCTTTTGTGATAAGAAATGAGCATTCATTGATATAGGATTTGATTTCGAGGGGTGCCTATTAGTGCATTTTTGTATTTAAAAGTCATTTTTTTTAAAAAAATTACAAATCTTTGTTAGAATTAGTAGGAATATAGTTTAAATATACTATGGTCCAACGAACACTAACTCAATTAAAATATAACTAGATTAAGAATTATTTTATTTTTTAATTGCTTAATAAGCCCATATATGTATATTGTACCTATGTTTTATAATTATAAAACTAGTTAACAAACTTATCCAAAACAAATTATAATAATAATTCTATTAATTTGAAAAATCACAATCTATACAATATTATAGGTAATTGATGGACAATTATTAGTAATGACTAATTACTTTAATTATATACCATCTTTTTATAGTATGTTATGCTCAACGTCCCTGATGCTCATACTGGTATAAAAAATAATGAACGAGAGATATTCGATTTAAACCTTGTATATACATTTTATAAAGGGTTATAAATATATTTAGAGAAAAAAAATGCTTTTGATAGTAATCCTGAATGATGTCATTAGATTTTAGCGACTTTTTCTAAGATTTGTTGACATCGTTTTTTAAGAGTCAAAAGAGAGTGGGATTTACGAACCCACCTTCCTTTGTAAACTCCAATGATTTCCAAAATAATCAGATATTTTGAGAATAAAAAAATAGGGATGTGAACCCTTCGACAATAAAAGGGTCCGGGTTCAGGAAATTTTTTTAAAAATTTTAGGATTTCGGGTTTGGAGAACATATAGAAATATTAATTCAAAATAACACCATTTTTTCTCCTATATTTGTTATTTAGTAATTTACGAGTAAAAAAATTAAAAAATAATTTTATTCCTTGGGCGAACGGTCTCCAGCTGAACCGGAAATACCCTTGTGTTGATTTTGGCAACAGTCTAACATCCCATTTTCTATCATCTAAATGGCAGAAGTCCTTTAAAAACAAATATTCTGCCTTTACAGACAGCACCTTAGCCATGTTCGGAAATGAGACTTTTTAATTTTATTAAAATCATAGGAAAAAAAAAGAGATAGATTAATCCCAAAGAAGGATTACCTTCGTCAGAAGATTTCTCACGAAATCTGCCGGTCTCATTTTCTAGGCATATACTCCTCTCTAGATATAAACCTCTTTTTTTAAGTTCTTTTTAAATGTTTTTAAATATAAAAATTTATATACATACTTCATTTTGACATCGTTAAAAAAAATTTTTTTGTAATTTCTATTTTAAATGTTTTATTTAATCGCCATGGCCTTAATATCATTCATAATAAAATATTATTACCATTGCTACAAAACATAGGCTTGCTATGCTATTAGGTTGGTTTATTTTCCATAAATTTTATTAATGATATATATTCATTTAGTAGGCCTTTGGCTATATTAGATTTTTATAAAAATAATTTTGGGTTACTTTTTTTGAGATAAATACTAATAAAAACATGGTTTTTATATTAAAAATGTTAACTTATTAACAATTTTTTTTTATTTGTCCATCAAATATGATAAATATTTTTTTTAAAGTTTAAAGTTTGAGGTTTTTTTTATGAAAAATAATATATATTTATAAGTTAAAAAAAACGTGTTTTCGACAATGAATTTAAAAATGAGGTATTTAAAACATCATTTTTAATTAAAAATTTTATCCAGATTATATTTACACCAAAACTTCAAAAACGTGGATTAATTTTGATCATTTCAAAATGATACATCCACAAAATGAATAAGATTTGTTTCAATCACGAAGACTGGATGACGAGCTCATTTGTCCGTATATATAATTTTTTTTATTTTTTTAAATATATAATTTTGAACTCCTAAGAGTAATAACTTTTAGATGTAATATTTATACATTACCTAATGAGACGGAATTCCAATAGGACAAAAAAAGGAAGCGTGGAAGAATGGCAAAAAGGTAAAAAGGCCTTGGTCCTTCAATAAATGATAATTATCGCTTTAAAATAACATTATCCATTCTTAAAATAAATTATATATATGAATATTTACTAAAATAATGGCAACATTTATTTGTTATTAGGAAAAGAATGGCAATGTTTGAAATTTTTTCTTTAATTAATTTTTTTTATGAGATAGCCCAAAATTTAATATTGTTCTCTCACTCCAAAATGAGCCAAAGAGTGATTTAAAAATTATAAGGATTGTAGCTTATGAGGGGATTATAACCCATTCCCATCTTTCAAAAAAAAATATGCAATTCATGCAAAGATTTTTGCTAAATCGAAAACAATTGCCATATTGAAAAAAAATACTAATTTAAGAAAGAAGTACGATAAAACTATGTTTTAGCTCTCACATACTAAGGAAATAACATGAAAATTTAATTCCCAGTTATAATGTATTTAAAAATTAATTTGTATTTATTATTTTAAATACAAGTATTCGTGATAGTAACAAACCTGTCTGATATTTCTATTTCCGTGAAAGGATCAAGGGATTTATGAATTTAGTCTATTTTTGCAAATGTTATTTTTAGTAAATTTAGGCATTTATTATTAAGAAGCGGGAAAATTATCTGTTAGATAATAATTTTGGATGTCGTCCTAATTATAGCACGGAAGAAAGATGGAAAGAACCTCATCAATTATTTTAGAATGATGTAATATTCTACATATAAACAAGGTGATTTTACACGCAAGTGAATAATTTAATAGCTAATTTTTTTAAAGGATATAATTACAAAAATTATAAAATGAAATAAATTCTAGATTTTAAAAAATCATTAATCATCACATAATTGATTAAGATTTTTACAGAACAGAAAAAAATTAAATTTATTCTAAGGGGAATCATACATAAAAAAATAATACAATCGGATTTTTTAAAAATTTAAATATAAATATATTCTTTTATAGAATCTGTTTTCATAATCGTCATAAGACTATTATATAAACGTCTATAGGCTGAGTAAGAGAATTGGACCAAAGATAACAAATAACGAGGAAAGTTTAACAAAAAATAAATATATTCAACAAAGAAAATAAAATGTACATATCATATAACAGTGGCGTCCCTAGGAGGGGGCGCGCAGGGGCTCAAACCCCCTGAATTGAATAGCCCCCTGAAGCAAAAAAAATTTTTTTTTTAATTGCTCCTTAATATCCCCTTGAACTAAAAATAAATTTTTTAAATTGCCCCCTGAACGATTTCTTTTATAATTCTATTGAGTAATATATAGATTTAATTTTTTTATTTAAAAATTAATAAAACTATCTAAATTTTTATAAAATGAATACTATTTTAATTATTAGATTAGATTATACATATAAATTATATGTTCACCTGTCAGCTTGCAATCAAATTCTGTGTTAAGAATATATCAATATCACTCACTAAATATTAATTTAGAATTAACAGTTAAAGCTTAATTGACTTTTATTATTTAAATTATTATATAACCTTAATTAAATAAATATAATCATTTTTTAATTGAAAATTAACAAATTTAATATTGTAATTAGCCGAGTTCAAAATCACTAATCAACTACATTTTGACTTATAATTTTAATTATCATGTCTCTTCCTAAAATTATTTTCAAGGTCCAAATCCAAATGAGTATAAGATATTTATTTATAAAAAGTAAGTAGATAAATAGTTTATAATCCTTTATAATATATAATTATTTATAAAAAAAATGCCACCTTTACAGACATATTTGAGAGTTATATAATATATTACAGTTAATAGTTTTAAAATCTTGATAATAATGCTTTTGATAATAAATATAAGTAAATTTCAATTATTTAACGCCATCTATTTATTAAATATATTATTAAAATTAAACTTCTTATTATTCATCCCACAATGGATGTAATAAATTAGATATCTTTTCTTCTCTTTTTTTACATGTTTTTAGGAAATCTATTTTTTTTCTTCTTTGAAAAACAGTTTTGAGTTAAATTTTTAATAAGGATATATTTTTGATATTATTACAATCTATTATTATTTTAAGATATAATAAACCAACTAGAGATGGTGCGACAATAATATATGAATCTTAATTACTTTCATCATATAACTCTGATTCTTATTTTATAGTTAAAAAATGTTTCATTTCTAATATGGCATCCTTGCCATATAAATAACTCAAAACTTCAATATATTTGCATAATTTCTTCTAAAGAATTTTACTGTTTTTGTTTTATCAATTTATTACCATCGTGAGTGTCATGACCTTTTGTCAATGTAACTTGATAGAATTATATAGCCTTATGTGGTTTTTTAAAACCATTATCAATTGAGGCATATGTATGAATTAATTAACCTTTTTTTACGCAAAATTTTTTTATATCAGCAATCGAAAATATTTTATACTGTAATGAATAGATTTTGTATTAAAAAATATTATTTTTAGAAATTTATTGTATTGTTTTAATTATTTATATGCTAGGTTATTTTGTATGCAAAATATTATAAATGACAAAATAATTCAGAATAATTGTCTAGAATTAGCATATTTTAAAAATGTATAATATATTAATATAAAACCCGGCCGAAGGCCGGGCAAAAGCGGGCCAAAGACCCTCTAATTGGGAGTATGGGGGGCGAAGCCCTCCATAATTTTTTTTTAGCTGAACTCCCTGAGATTGTAAAAATTTCCACGCGTTTTCTCTCATTTAAAATACGTACATTTTGACTAGACTCCCTAAAAATTTTTAGAAACTTTTCTTGTATTTTTAATTTTTATAATCAGGGAAATAAGAACATTCGGAAATAAAATTATTTTTTTAAAGATTAGCGATCTGGTTTATGATGTTATGGCCGGTTGGGATATGGCTGTCAATTATGCAGGGGGGATTCTAATGTGTGCACTTAAATTTTAGTCATTATTCGAGAGCATGTATGAAAAAAAAATTTATAAACAGGGCAACTGAGTGACAGATATAATCATGTCTAATTTGATGGCCTTGACTTTATTTACATGTTATTTAGGAGAAAATTCTGTGGCAAAAGTTGAAATTAGGCCATTGTTTCCCATTACATAATCATAGGTTAAAAACAT